CAAGGCAGGATTTAAGCCAAGTTGGGCCTGGGTAGGGCGGGAGGTGCTGTGCAAAGCAAAAGTTTATGATGTCAAGTTTTGGCAGAATCTAGCAAACTAGAAAACTTCATTGTGACTGGGCAAGAATGTGTATAGCAAGTCTGTCTAAGATTTCATAATAGCTTTCTGCTTTGCTCTGCTCACTGCCTTAGAATTTAGAGACTGCATGATGATCTGTCTTTTCCTAGACATCCTCCCTGAGTCAACCCCACAGTCTGTCTAGATTCTAGAAAGTGGTTCTCAACCTCATCCGATTCAATACCCACATCTTTAACGACTAAATGGAAATGCTCCTTTTAAAAAAAAATCCTGATTTATTCATTATTTTTTTTTCATTTATTAGTTGGAGGTTAATTACTTTACAGTATTGCAGTGGTTTTTGTCATACATTGACATGAATCAGCCATGGGTTTACATGTATTCCCCATCCTGATCCCCCCTCCCACCTCCCTCTCTACCCGATCCCTCTGGGTCTTCCCAGTGCAGCAGGCCCGAGCACTTGTCTCATGCATCCAACCTGGGCTGGTGACCTGTTTCACTATAGATAACATACATGCATCGATGCTGTTCTCTCAAAACATCCCACCCTCACCTTCTCCCACAGAGTCCACAAGTCTGTTCTGTACATCTGTGTCTCTTTTTCTGTTTTGCATATAGGGTTATCATTACCATCTTTCTAAATTCCATATATATGTGCTAGTATACTGTAATGGTCTTTATCTTTCTGGCTTACTTCACTCTGTATAATGGGCTCCAGTTTCATCCATCTCATTAGAACTGATTCAAATGAATTCTTCTTAATGGCCGAGTAATATTCCATGGTGTATATGTACCACAGCTTCCTTATCCATTCGGCTGCTGATGGGCATCTAGGTTGCTTCCATGTCCTGGCTATTGTAAACAGTGCTGCAATGAACACTGGGGTGCATGTGTCTCTTTCAGATCTGGTTTCCTTGGTGTGTAGGCCCAGGAGTGGGATTGCTGGGTCAAATGGCAGTTCTATTTCCAGTTTTTTAAGGAATCTCCACACTGTTCTCCATAGCAGCTGTACTAGTTTGCATTCCCACCGACAGTGTAAGAGGGTTCCCTTTCTCCACACCCTCTCCAGCATTTATTGCTTGTAGACTTTTGGATAGCAGCCATCCTGACTGGCGTGTAATGGTACCTCATTGTGGTTTTGATTTGCATTTCTCTGATAATGAGTGATGTTGAGCATCTTTTCATGTGTTTGTTAGCCATCTGTATGTCTTCTTTGGAGAAATGTCTGTTTAGTTCTTTGGCCCATTTTTTGATTGGGTCATTTATTTTTCTGGAGTTGAGCTGGAGGAGTTGCTTGTATATTTTTGAGATTAATCCTTTGTCTGTTGCTTCGTTTGCTATTATTTTCTCCCAATCTGAGGGGTGTCTTTCACCTTGCTGATAGTTTCCTTTGTTGTGCAAAAGCTTTTAAGTTTCATCAGGTCCCATTTGTTTATTTTTGCTTTTATTTCCAATATTCTGGGATGTGGGTCATAGAGGATCCTGCTGTGATTTATGTCGGAGAGTGTTTTGCCTATGTTTTCCTCTAGGAGTTTTATAGTTTCTGGTCTTACATTTAGATCTTTAATCCATTTTGAGTTTATTTTTGTGTATGGTGTTAGAAAGTGTTCTAGTTTCATTCTTTTACAAGTGGTTGACCAGTTTTCCCAGCACCACTTGTTAAAGAGGTTGTCATTTATCCATTGTATATCCTTGCCTCCTTTGTCAAAGATAAGGTGTCCATAGGTTCGTGGATTTATCTCTGGGCTTTCTATTCTGTTCCATTGATCTATATTTCTGTCTTTGTGCCAGTACCATACTGTCTTGATGACTGTGGCTTTGTAGTATAGTCTGAAGTCAGGTGATTTATTCATTATTATCCTCCTGTAACAAGTACTATCAGTGCCCTACCCTTATTCCTTTTGGTGCCTTCTACATCTACACTCTCTGAACGGTCACATGAAGCAGGCTGGAAGGCCCAGAAGTAATGTTTTCTGGGGAAAGCCCTCAACCAGTATCTGGCAACATTGGGGTATAAATAACCCCACTCCCTGTCCCTTGTCTCTCCATGGATTAAGCGCCATAGTACCCAGAGCAGCTCCTTGCTTGATAACACTTTTTACTGTCTTCCCCCTTGCCCTGTCTTAGTACCCCACTCCCCTACTAATGTTCTGGATCACTTTCCAAGCAAATCACCTCACTAGAATCCTTGCTCTGTGTTTGATTCTGGGGGAACCCAGACTAAAGCACTTACTTACATGAAAGTAAAAAAAAAATCCTAGTAATAATGAGAAAGAGAAATTAAGTAAATGTGGCTGGTAATATACTATTTCAATGTATAAAATGGGATATCGTTAACAGTTCAGTTCAGTCACTCAGTCTTGTCCGACTCTTTGTGACCCCATGAACCACAGCACACCAGGCTTCCCTGTCCATCACCAACTCCCAGAGTTCACCCGAACCCATGTCCATTGAGTTGGTGATGCCATCCAACCATCTCATCCTCTGTCGTCCCTTTCTCCCGCCTTCAATATTTCCCAGCATCAGGGTCTTTTCCAATGAGTCAGCTCTTCGCATCACGTGGCCAAAGTATTGGAGTTTCAGCTTCAGCATCAGTCCTTCCAATGAACACCCAGGGCTGATCTCCTTTAGGATGGACTGGTTGGATCTCCTTGCAGTCCAAGGAACTCTCAAGAGTCTTCTCCAACACCACAGTTCAAAGGCATCAATTCTTCAGCACTCAGCATTCTTTATAGTCCAACTCTCATATCCATACATGACCATTGGAAAAACCATAGCCTTGACTAGACGGACCTTTGTTGACAAAGTAATGTCTCTGCTTTTTAATATGCTATCTAGGTTGGTCATAACTTTCCTTCCAAGGAGCAAGGGGCTTTTAATTTAATGGCTGCAGTCACCATCTGTAGTGATTTTGGAGCCCAGGAAAATAAAGTCTGACACTGTTTCCACTGTTTCCCCATATATTTGCCATGAAGTGATGGGACTAGATGCCATGATCTTAGTTTTCTGAATGTTGAGCTTTAAGCCAACTTTTTCACTCTCCTCTTTCACTTTCATCAAGAGGCTCTTTAGTTCTTCCTCACTTTCTGCCATAAGGGTGGTGTCATCTGCATATCTGAGGTTATTGATATTTCTCCCAGCAATCTTGACTCCAGCTTGTGCTTCCTCCAGCCCAACTTTTCTCATGATGTACTCTGCATAGAAGTTAAATAAGCAGGGTGACAATATACAGCCTTGACGTACTCCTTTTCCTGTTTGGAACCAAAAAATGTAACTAAGTAACACATGTTTGCACCTATAAAAGAATTCTCTAGGGAATCAGCAGCTTTGAATGCAGACAGACACAGCCGCACCCTGGTGTGTTGTAGTGTGTGTTATATACTGTAAGCAGCTTTACCATTAATGACATGGATTTTCTGAAATGGTGGACTTGATAAAGTCCAAACAAAACAAAGTAAATTCATTCTTCAGTTATGGTAGTAACATCCCAGAAAATTCAACGTACATTAAAACTGTGCAAAAATACTTTGTGTTTATACATAAAGAGAAGTTGAGTTTTGGTGTGTGTGTGCTAAGTCGCTTCAGCCGTGTCTGACTCTTTGTGACCCCATGGACTGTAGCCCACCAGGCTCCTCCGTCCATGGGATTCTCCAGGCAAGAATCCTGGAGTGGGTTGCCATTTCCTTCTCCAGGGGATCTTCCCAACCTAGGGGTTGAACACAGGTCTCTTATGTCTCCTGCATTTGCAGGTGGGTTTTTCACCACTAGCACCAGGTGGGGGCAGATAATTATAAGGTTTTTGGTTTTGTTTTTCTCAGCAACATGAGAGTGCAATGGGACATCTGAAAATTTACAGGGCCTGAAGTGATTTCTCATCGTGTAGGGCGGCATCTCTCTGTCAGACTTCCTCAGAGGGCAGTGAGCATGTCTCCTGTGCCCTCGTTTTCTCCATCCTCATCCTGCTGGCTGAGATGCAGAAGTGATGGCTGGAGCTCCGCCACCATCTTAGAGCAGGAAGAAAAGAATCACACCACATCCTGAGGAGGCAGAGCAGTGAGCTGGAAGGAGCCTGTTCTCTAAGAATTTCAGGAGTGGGGCAGCCCTACTAGCCCCGGGTTGTCTCTGCCTGTGCACTCTTACACGAGCAAGATATAAACTTCTACTCTGTTCAGCCACTATTGTTTGGGGTTTCTGTTTCTTTAAACCTACTTATAGCAATATATAAAATAAACTCTAATGGTACTTTCAGCAGTAATCCATAACTTTTGCAACTGTGACCAGTGCTACTTGAGAACTATTGGTGCAATGAGAGAGAACAGAGCCAGATGGAGAGGCTAGAAGGAGTCAGGCCAGAAAACGCTCTTCCAAGCTCTGAATGTGGTAAAATCAACAAGGCAAAGAGGTGGAAAATAAACAAATATAACTTGGTCACTTGTTTAAGAAAAGAGGGGAACAAGGACTTCCCCGATGGCCCAGTGGCTAAGACTCCACACTCCCAATGCAGGTGACCCAGGTTCAATCCCTGGTCAGGGAACTATATCCCACATGTGCAACTAAGACCCAGCACAGCCAAATAAATAAATTAAATAAACACAGTAAAAAATAAAGTATCAAAATATTTATTTAAAAATAAATGAAAATAAAAAAAGAGGGGACAGAAGGAATGTTTTGTGAGTTTTCTCGTCCACTCAGCTGGTGGTGGTTAATTTAGAGAGGAAGTACCCCTGGGTAGGACCATTTTATCTGATGTGGATCCCGGTGTATATGTAGCACAGTGTCCGACTTGCTCAGTCAATGCTGTTGGAAATACATGCCTTTATATGTACCAAGAGCTGCGCGGCCAGTGTGACTGAATGAGCTCTGTGCTGTTTGTTGATCTATTCCCTAGCTCTGAATCCCCTCTGAAATCTTGGGCAAGGAGGATGATACAGTCAGACAAAGGATCAGATCTTCCAGATGAAAAAGACAAGAAGGACGAGAAGTTCTCTACGGGAACCAATCCGGAGAACGGTATGTGGTGCCAAGTTCCTTTTCTAGGCCAGAAAGGCCTTTCAATATCACTCTAACAATGTGATCCAATTTAGGGGCAGAAATTCTGATAGATTTATTCTGATTTCTCTATGGAACTTGTTATACACTTCGAAGTGTCCTGTTGCCTCCATTAGTGATACATCCAAGCAATTTTTAAGGCCGAAAGGAAAGAAATCAATACAGTAGATTAGGAATCTCTTTTTTTCCTATCCCACAATGTTTTACTTCTATTTAGAACTTTGCAACTTGTTCACATTCAGAGTACCATTGCAACAAATAGGATTTCTATGAAAACACTTATAAAAACAAGCATTTACTAAAATCTGTCTGGTCCCTTTAATAGTGGAACCCTCAGGTTTGTATTAAAAGCATATTGGGAGAGGCTTCCCTGGTGACACAGTGGCTAAGACTCCTCACTCCCAAAGCAGGAGGCCTAGGTTCCATCCCTGGTCGGGGAACTCCCACTTGTTGCAGCTAAAGATTCTGCAAGCTGCAATTGAAAGCGCCTGCGTGTCACAAGTAAGACCCACTGCAGGCATGTACATGAGTAAATATTTTCTAAGAGCCTATTGGGAGAGTTTTTCAATGAGAATTTTCATAAAGGGTAAATACAGATGACCACATGTTTGAAGGATCCAGAAAACAACTATATAATTTTAGAATAAACCAGAGGCTGTTAGGACTGGGGAGGGGAAAGCAATACTGCTCATATAAAATTTTTCATCTGTTTACTGTGATCTATTAGTTCACCTAATATTAGCAAGAACTCTATAGCAAAGCAAACATACCCTCATTTTCTATAAGGAACTAGTTCCCAGAGACTTGGATGGTTTTCTGAAGCACACACACTGATAACAGAGCCAGAAGATAGATCTTTCGGCTTTAAATGCAGTGTCCACTGCTCTCCTTTTGAGCCCCCGGAGCCTCCTCGTGGTCTGAATTGTCCTTCACGTTACACCTGCCCTTCTTTCCGCCCTCATCTGCCGCCCCATCTCTGCCCTCTCCTGCTTCTAGGGATCTCGCACCTCCTGAGGCTCGTGCTGCAAGAGCTGAACCTGTTCTACACCCGAGACGTGAACGGAGTGTGTCTCTTGTATGACCTCCTTCACTCCCCGTGGCTGCAGGCTCTGCTCAAGGTGAGCGCTCTTCTGCTCTGAAGCCGTGGGCTTGGGAGCGGCCCCTGCTCATCCATCAGTGTAGCCTGTCAGATGGCAGGAAATCTCAACAGGGAAAAAGTTCAAGGAAGACCTACACAACCCCAAGTTTAGGAAGGAATTTACTTGAGTGGAAAAGAATACAGCAGCTCCTCTCTTTTCTGCCCCAGGGGCCCCCCTTTCTTCCAGGGGCCCCAGGGTCACAAAGCAGCCACTGCAAATGGCCATTGGCAACCCCATAAGCAGCTGTCCACGACCCTTTGTCCTTGAGGTCAACTCAGGACAAATAAAAAGGCTTTAAAATATCATTCCTCTTTGTTTTTATAAATTGGGAAATGAGATATTCACAGTTCTGTTTAGGTATCTTAAGTTTTTCTTACTCTGAGGATCTCTTTTATAACTTGGCTGAAATTTCATACTATACAATAGCATCTACTATTGGACTATAATTTTGTTCTTCTAAACAAATGTTATTATTAAGAAAGATCCTTTTGAAGTTATCTTTGGGGGATGTGTTTCTTTCACTTAGGTGTGAAATGTGGTCAGCCTTATGGTGCATATTAATATTATATTTTTAAAAGAAGTGTCAATGTGTTTAGTGTGAACACAAAAGTACTCCTCACAGCACAGGCTTTAAAATACCTGATTTCTTTATCCATTGATGGACACAGATTTTTTTCCCCCGGTGTTTTGGCTTTTGTGTACTTGCTAAGTCACTCAGTTTTGTCCGACTCTTTGTGACCCCAAGGGCTGTAGCCTGCCAGGCTCCTCCATCCACGGGATTCTCCAGGCAAGAATCCTGGAGTGGGTTGCGATTTCCTTTTCCAGGGGATCTTCCCAACCCAGGGATTGAACCCGGGTCTCTTATATCTCCTGCACCAGCAGGTGAGTTCTTTACCACTAGAGCCACTTGGGAAGCCCTTGGCTATTACAAATAAAGCCTCAATGAACATGGGGTGCAGATATGTTTTTGAGATAGTGATTTCATTTTATTATATCCTCAGAAATGGGATGGCCAGTGGATATTATTCACCCAATTTTGCGACAGCATGGGTGGATCTCAGGGCATTATGTTAAATGAAATAGGTCCGAAAGACAAATACCATGTCATCTCACTTGTATGTGGACTCTAAAAATGTGGAGCTTATAGAAACAGAGAGATTAGTGGTTGCCAGGAGCTGGGGGATGAAGGAAAAGGGGCAATGTTGGTCAAAGGGTACAAGCATCTAATTATAAGGTGAAAAAGTTCTGGCAACCTAACAAACCTTACTAAAGGCTGGCACACAGGCTGCCCACCTGCTGGCACCATTGCCCGGGCTGATTCTCCCCTTGCAAGCCTTTGCTCAGTACATCATTCTCTCCTCGCTGCCCCTCTGCAGGTTTATGACAGCCTCCAGGAATTCAAAGAGAAGAAGCTTGTTCCTGCCACAACCCATGCACAGGCATTATCCTGCGAGGTGAGGTGCTTTTTTTCATCCAGAGAATAGTAGTTTTAACATGATGCCATTTTACTCATAGTACTAGTTTAAATGCTCTAAATGTTTAATTGGTGACTATGCATCTAATCCTTGCTTCTAATTGAGCTTTAAAAGAAGAAAGACAATTGGCCTCCTGCCTCCCCAAATTAAAACAAGACACATGTGTCCGTTTCTCTCTTTTTCCCTAAAAATTTGACTCGGTTATGCTATGAAAACAGGGTAATGTTTTTCTACTAATGATCTCCAATTTTACTTCTCTAGTCTGGACTTCTCTGCTAAATTATACTCATATGTCCACTGCCTCCTGCCCATTTTACTGTTTAATGGACCCCTCCAATTTAACAGGTCCCAAACTGAGCTCCTGATCATCCCCACCCCAAAGCTCCCCCTCTCCAGCCTTTTCTATCTATTTTTGTTCTTGCATGGGGCTTCCTGGGTAGTGCTAGTGGTAAAGAAGCCTCCTGGCAATGCAGGAGGCACAAAAGTTGTGGGTTCGATCCCCGGGTTGGGAAGATCCTCTGGAGTAGGAAATGCAACCCCCTCCAGTATTCTTGCCTGGAAACATTCCATCGACAGAGGCGCCTGGTGGCCTGTAGTCCATAGGGTCGCAAAGAGTCAGACATGACTGAGCACAGTTTTGCTTTTTGTGGTGCTTAAACCAACATCTTTGGGATCATCTTTGACTTTCTCTTTCTGTCATACCCACACCCAGTCCTTCAGCTCTGGTTTCAAAATATGTTGAAATACACCACCTCTGCTGTGTCACTGAACATAGCCGTCATTTTCTCTTACATGGATAATTGCAATGTAGCAAGCTGCCTGGTCACCTCTTTCTACTCTTGCTCCCTATCTATTCCTGTCATGGCAGCCATTAAGACATTCTGAATTAAAGATGAGTCAGAATGTGTCACTTCCCTGCTCAAACTCTTCCTACAACTTCTCATCTCAGAGTAAACATCAAAGTTATATAGCCAAACATAGCCTTAACTCTCTTTGATGTTGACTTACCATCCTCTCCCTTATTCACTCTGCTCCAGTCTCATGAACCACTTGTGGTTGTTTGAAATCAGGCATGGTCCTGCCACAAGCCCTTTGCATTTGCTATTCCCTACATCAGTAATGTTCTTGCCTATATATCCACATGATGTGCTTCTTCATCTCCTTCCAGTTTTCACTGAAATGTCAGCTTCTCACAGAGACTTTCTCTGGTCACCCCATCTAAAATTGCAATCCCCTCATAGCACTCCCTATCCACCTTCCTTGTTTTATTTTTCTTCTTAATTCTTTTCATCATCAAATAAAACTTTTTTTTTTTTTACTTACACATTTTACTTATTATCTGTGGCTCCTAACAAAAATGTAAATTCTATGAGTGTGGGGATTTGTGTCTGCCTATTCATAGCTGTATTTGCATCACTTAAAACAGTGTCTAGGGACTTCCCTGGTGGTCCAGGGGCCAAGACTCTGCCCTCCCAATGCAGAGGACCGGGGTTCGATCTCTGGTCAGGGAACTAGATCCTGCATGTCAGAAAAAAATCATCAAAGATTTCAAGTGCTACGACTGAGACCCAGCACAACCAAGTAAATAAATACATACATATTTTAAAACAAACAAACAAAAAACAATACCTAGCACATAGTAAATGTTCAATACAAATTTGCTGAAAAATGAAAGTTGCTCAGTCATATCCGACTCTTTGCGACCCCATGTACTGTAGCCCGCCTGGCTCTTGTGTTCATGGGGATTCTCCAGGCAAAAATACTGGAGTTGCCATGCCCTCCTCCAGGGGACCTTCCCCACCCAGGGATCAAACCTGGGTCTCCCACCTTGCAAGTGGATTCTTTACCATCTGCGCCACCAGGGAAGCCCAATATTTGGATGCATAAATATAATCCATTTTATTTTTATTTATTGTCCAAATCACATTAATAGAAATTTTTAAAAAGAAAAAAATAAAACCTTACAGCCAAAACTCCAGTAATTAACAACTAAAATTGTTCTTAGATATCCATGGAGAAACACATACATGTGATTTTATTCAGCTGTAACCCTAGAGAGTGGAGGTAAAGTTTGCTAAACCTCTTGTTTTCATTTGACTGGATGTGATGTTGCTTGACTGGTGAGCATTTGCAGAATTAAATTCTTGAAAGCACTTATGTTCTATCAGAAGCCAGGTCTCCACTTAAACCAAAGCAAAGGGATCAGAATTTATGCTAACAATTTTTTTTTGTTGCAATAAACATTAAAATTACTAATCAGATAAAAGTCCTAAAATACAAATTTTTTTAGTTGAAAAATGGAACAATCCATGGGATTAAAGCTACTTGGTTTTCCAGGTAACTGAGCCTGTACCTGGAGAACTCAGATACCTTAACTTGCCCATAAAACATTCACACGAGCAAACAGTCACTTTAGAGGCACTTGAGGGACACTGCCTTGGCACATATGATCTCACAAAATTAAGTTAGTCCTTCCTCCAAGTCTGTGAGGTGCCAGGACAAGGGCACTGTGGTTTAGATCTATCCCCAGTCTTGGATTCTACCTGCTGTAATGAAGTTTAGTGAATAAGCAAAAAAATGCTAATTTCACCTGACTTTAAAGGTGAAGAAGAAGGCTTTAGTAACAGCTTTTCTTAGCTAAATATCATGTCAATATACCTGTTATCCAGCCTGGGTGATGTTAACTAGGTGGTAAAGATTATTAAAAATTCACATGTATGCTTTCCCACCAACCAGGTAGTGAAGATACTACATGAAACCCCCAAGTCCCCTGAGATCCAAGAGCTAAGACAGATCCTCCAGGCTCCACACTTTAAGGCAAGTGCTTGCTAAAATTGACAAGGTATAACCATCCGGCACATTGACAGAGTTGGGAAGAAGAAATAAAGATGTGCTCTCTGAATAGATGTTCTTTTACTGTATGTGGGTAACCAACAGATTATACCGAAAGATGTGGGACACAGATGTGACTGATGGGGGGGCTTAATCTCATTGGCCATGGAACCAAGCCGGCTCTGTTTATACGGAGGCATTCAGGACTTCCTATGGCATCTTGTTTACCCCCTGAAAAGCCACCATTCCGTTAAAATTCTGGGGGACAATTAAGGCAGCATACATCCTTTCCAACTGGGAAATATTTTAATATTTTAGTATATGTGCTGCTGAAGTGAGCACTCTAACTGGGAAATATTTTAAGTTTCAGAGATAAAGTGTTTGAAGGTATTTGGAAAAAAACAATGTAATCATGAATAGCTGTATGAGGGGGTATATAAAGAACATTTGATCGCAGAAAAGAACCCTACCTTACAGGTTTTGAGACCAATTTATCAACAAATTAGAACTTTAAAAGAATATCTGCACCTGGAGCAATGGAATTTTTGAGTCAAAACGTTTTATTTCACAAGATAAACCTACAGAATTTTCTCTGAGTTCCAACAGAGCTCCATCCACCAGTCTCAGGCAGAGTTGTAGAATGACTCCTTCCCCACCCCAGGAAATGAAATTTTAATGAACTAGAACTATTTGATCATACCCTAAACCAGGGGACTGCTTTTTCTCATCCTGTTTCACATGGGATCTTGGGTGTTACTGACAAATTAAACCAGCAAGATGTTTTCATTACTGCCTCTCATTCTGCCTTGCCTGGGAAAACTATTACAATAATTATTTTGTAGTTAAAGTTTACAGGAGCATCATGGATTACATGGGTTTCCAGGAAATGAGAACATGACAGAACAGATTTTATCAGAAATGAAAGAATAAATGATGTGTTGCTTGCCCTCTGAGTGCCTTGTTTCCTTATCTGTAACATGGGGACGATGAATATACTTGCCTCATGAGGATGTGTAGAGAAGGCAACCCTGGTAAATTAATGCAGCCCCTGTGGAAAACTGTACGGAGGTTTTTCATAAAACTAAAAATAGAGCTCCCATCTGACTCAGCAATTCCACTCCTGGGTATATACACACCCCCCCGCAAAAGCCAAAACATTAATTTGAAAAAAACACATGCACTCCAACATACGTAGCAGCACTATTTACAGTTGCCAAGGTATGAAAGCAACGTAAGTGTCCATCAACAGACGAATGGATAAAGACGGTGTGATACACACACACACACACACACACACGATGGAATACCATTCAGCCATAAAAATGAATGAGATTTTGCTATTTGCAAACATGGATAAAACAATGCGGGTGGACACTTTGAAAGAATTATGCTAAATGAAATAAATCAGACAGAGAAAGACATACTGTATGATATCACTTATATAGGGAACCTAAAAAATGCAGCAATCTAGTAAAAAAAAAAAAAAAGGAGCACACTCGCAGATACAGAGAACAAGCTAGCAGTTACCCGTGGAGTGTGAGTGGGAGGACCGATACAGAAGTGAGGGAGTGCTGAGTGTGAAGCACTGTGTAAGACAGGCTACAGGGATGGATGGTACAAGCAGGGAATATAGCCATTATTTTGTAACAACTGAAAATGGAAAGTAAACTTTAACATCATATAAAAACAACTTTTAACAGTTAGAAATATATGTATCCCTGCCTCAGAGTTGCTGTGACAATTGAGTTAATCCACGTAGAACACTTAGCACTGAGCCTGGCACGGACGTGTAGGCTGTTGCTGCGTGTCTCCCACGGTACTGAGGCAGCATCTGCTAGGTGGCTGCATCCTATGCGTGATTTGCCTTTTCCCTCTCTGTTTCCAGGCCTTGCTCAGCGCCCACGACACGGTAGCTCAGAAGGACTTTGAGCCCCTTCTTCCCCCGCTGCCAGACAACATCCCCGAGAGCGAGGAAGCAATGAGGATTGTTTGCTTGGTGAAGAACCAGCAGCCCCTGGTAAGGAAATCATCTCACTAATATCTTTTCATTTAGGATTACACCAGGGTTAATTGGGAGCTAAGTTATCTCTAGTAGTTACTTGGGAAATATTTTTTTTAATAAAAATTTTCTTTAATTTAAAATAAGCAAAATATTTCAAAGGCCATACATAGAACCACTGGCAGTTTTCCTTATGCATGTGTTATTTAAACTAATAATTTCTCTTTACTCAACTATTAGCTTCCCCCATCCAATCAAGGATATCTTTGAGCTACAAATTATTCTCCCTTTTTGTGAGGGATATGTGTTTTTCTCTTTTTCTGCTGATTTGCTGATCACCTACCTGTCTTTCTGACTTTATCACAGAATCCTATTCCCAGCTAAGCATGGTTGCCTACAGAATTTTGTAATACTTGTCTGTTCTGTTTCTTCTTCAGTCAGCCAGAGGAAAGCAGTCAAAATCAGCGCTGTTGTACTTTCTCCTCATATGATTCTAGCAGAGATCAGTGCTTCACCTTAGAGTTCTTGAAATATAGTGTGGTAGGCAGCTTGAAACAACTGTTGGACAATATTCTTGTCTATGGTCACCTATAGTGTGAGGCACTCAGGCAGCAGGAGGGAATCCATGATGATGATGGCTAAAATATCTCTTAATCAATTTTGCCTGTGATTTCAAACACTTTACAGGTTGTAATGTTTTCACCAGGAAAGATTTCTGCTTAGTGTTTTTCCTTTTTAACAGCTATGAAAAAAAAAAGAATTATTTTATTAATTGACTCTGTGACATGTACATATATTTCACCCAGTTCTAATGTATTTGCCTAAGTTTTTTCCTCTGTTAAGGGGAAGCTAAGTAAGGCATTAATTTGATTTTCTAAGTGTATTTCCTTTGATTAGGTTGTAATTGTGGAAATTCTGTTTATCTCTGAAAGGATCTCAATATTACTTGATGTCTGTGTGGTTGGATAGAGACTCTGGTAGACCCAAGTGAAATGGCCTTTCCTTCTTGGTGACATGGAGTATGTATGGCCCTGAGTGCGAGTGAGTGATAGTCACTCGGTCGTGTCCGACTCTCTGAGACCCTGTGGACTGTAGCCCGCCTGTAGGCTCCTGTGTCCACAGAATTCTCCAGGCAGGAATACTGGAGTGGCTTGTCATTTCCTTCTCCGTCTATTACCCTGGTTGGTACTAATTCCCTTGTCTGAAAGACCAGAGTGACATTAGGGGAAGCCCCCAGGAAAGTGGTCATGTAAGGTAAGAAGTGGGCTCCACTGTACTCTCTTCCCAGGGAGCTACCATCAAACGCCACGAGGTGACAGGGGACATCCTGGTGGCCAGAGTCATCCACGGTGGGCTGGCCGAGAGGAGTGGTAAGCTGGGGCAGCGGTGTGCAAGCGCGACCGGGAAAACAGGGGGCCCCTGTCTCCTATGTAAGGTCAAGCCTTTAATAAGTTCCATTGCTTGGTTACTAAGAAGGAAGTATTCCAGAGAAACTAACTTGGTTACTAAGAAGGAAGTATTCCAGAGAAACTAACCCTATCGCCCTTCCTCACCAAGTCCCTCCATTCTATGCATTAAATTAATTTTCTTTCACTTTACATGCCCACATAAACCTGACAAGCTAAGTATTATCCTGCTACTGTATAGATGAGGAGACTGAAGTTCACAAAGATTAACCACCTAACTTGCTTGAGGTGTCACAGTTTGAGTTAGGGTTCAAGTCTAGATCTGCCTCTCTCTATATTCCCAACTTTCATTCTCCACTTGGTCCTTCTGCTTTCAAAAAGTCACAGCTCTTCCACATCTTCAAACCATTGTTGCTTGCCTTTTCTATCTGGGAACCGAATTTCCTTCTTTTCACTGCTGCGCTTCTGAAACCAGCACTTCTGTATGTGCCATCCCTGGTCCTCACTGCTCATGACCCCGGAAACCTGGGGCAGAATTCATGCGTCAACATTCTTAGAGAAATTACCCAGAAACTTCCTAGTTGCTAAGTCCACTGTCCTTCCCTTCAGCCTCAGTTCTATTTTTACTTCTCTAGCACATTTGATGTTGTTGAAGATAGCTTTCTTGAAATTTTCAAAATGTCTCTTGTCTCCATTGTCTTATCTCATAATTCTCAAGGCTTAATGTTAACCCCCAAGTTCCTCTACACTTTCTCTTTTGGAGAATACCCCCACCCCATTTCCTTTTCATTTAACATTTACTCACGATCATGACATCTTTATTTTTATTTTTTAAATTTAAGTGGTGCTGAGAAAACTGGACAGCTACCTGTAAAAGAATGAACTTAGAACACTTCCTAACACCTTACAGAAAGATAAACTCAAAATGGATTAAAGACATAAATGTAAGACCGGAAACTATAAAACTCTTAGAGGAAAACATATGTAGAACACTTGACGACATAAATCACAGCAATATCCTCTGAGACCTACCTTCTAGAGTAATGGAAATAAATAAATAAATAAATAAGTGAGACCTAATTAAACTTAAAAGCTTTTGCACAGCAAAGGAAACTATAGACATCTTTATTTTTAGTCTTATCTTCTTACCAATATTCCAGTTCCATTTTATAACATCAGATTAGCAAAACTAAAAATATCACCATCAGTTAATGCCCAGTGTTGGTGAAAAGGTAGAAAAATGGTATTCTCATGTACTTTGGTGGTGGTGTAAATTCAACTAACCAGTTTGCTTTATTATTCCTATTATTTCACAGTAAAATTTAAGATGTCAGAGCATGCTTAGGTTAGTGAGTTTGTTAAACAGTGTTGGGATGGCTACCGCCCTTTTTGTGAGTTGTTTGGCACCGCTCTTTGTTTTGTGTTCCGGTTTGCCTAGGGCTGTTATACGCCGGAGACAAACTGGTGGAAGTGAATGGAGTTTCCGTTGAAGGACTGGACCCTGAGCAAGTGATCCACATTCTGGTAACAGCCCTCCTCGCCTTATCCATGACTGACTGTGGCGTTGCATCCAGCCCCTGGAGTGTGCACTGTGACTGGAGGGGGATTCGGGTGACCAGAGCAGCCAGGCCCTGGAGCCTGTCTGTTTTCACGCATCTCGTCCCCCTTACCTGCTCCCTCCCCCCAGCTGACCTGGATCCTGCTGGAGATGTCCCTTCCCAAGCTGCTCTTTCAGCCTCAGGATGACAGCCCAGGTCCTCATCACCTGGGCTGCCCTGTTGGAAACTGAGCCTGGGGTGGGCAGAGTGACACTGTGGAGGAGAGTCTGGACCTGAGCAAACCACCCCTTGCTCCCCTAACATTTTTATGCAGTTTCTTTGAGGCAGCTTTGAGGTAGAGAAGAAGTCCAGAGGGCAGCATATGGGGAGGGGGGCATCTTTGCTGGCCCTGCCAGTCCTTGTGTTGAGATGGGGATTTATGACCTGATTATATGAGCTTTTGGTTTCTTTTCGGTTCTCATTCCCATCCTTCAAACCATTGCCCGGGTCACTGTTGAGCTGTCAATATAGCCAGAGCGCCATGCCTGCTCACCTCCCCTGTGCACTCCCCCACTGTGGGGCCTGAGGGCGACTATTATATATTACATATACTAGCGGTCCGCACACGGGTTCTTGGGAGAACTCTAGATTTTCACAGATGTGCCTTAGGGACTGAGATGAGAAGTGGTATAATAAGGAGTATGTATGCATGCTAAGTCACTTCAGTCGTGTCCGACTCTGTGCGACCCTATGGACTGTAGCCCGCCAGGCTCCTCTCTCCATGGGGATTCTCCAGGTAAGAATACTGGAATGGACTGCCATTTCCTTCTCCGGGGGATCTTCCCAACCCAAGGATTGAAACTGAGTCTCTTGCATCTCCTGCATTGGCAGGCAGGTTCTTTACCACTAGCCCTACCTGAAAAGCCCCCAGTAAGGAGTATATTAAGCACCTAAAAATTTTGCAAACTGCTATACAAGATTCTTCGTGGTATAAAATGTTCTGCCAAAAGAGCTTAAAGGACTGTCAATCACAGATACACATGTGTGCACCGCAGTCCTTTTGTACCAGCTGTGGAGTTATGACGACAGTGGCATCATGAGATTCCTGCGTGAGAATGAGATCTTTCTTGTTCATCTCTGGATCTCCAGTGTCTGTCATGGTGTGTTTCGGGAGGTGGAGCAGAGGAGGGGCTGTTCCTACCTCCTGCATCAAGCTAGGAGGTTCTCTGTCTCCTCCACCCTTAGTTTAGAGGCTTGTCAGTACCCTCGAGAAGACTTGGGAGCACTTTATCTTCTTCCCCATCAGATGAGGCTGCCTGATGCAGAAACGAGTGTTCAGGAAAGGCTTCCTGACTGAGACATGAGGAGTGAAAGTCAGATCAAGAGTTCCTCTCCCTCCTCATGCCTTGGGGGAAAAAGAGCTTGCTGAGTGTGGTGTCCTGATGAGAGCAAGGTGGAGGGTACTAGGAGAGTCCAGCCTCAGGACCCTGGACCCCCCCCCCCCCCCCCGCAGCAGGACAGAAGTGAAGCTAAATTTCTTCTAATGTCCATTTCTGGGTGGTGATATTTAGCAGTTGAGCCCTTGTAAAAGCCCCTTTGGGAGATGTCACCATTTGACCTGCACACATTGAGTATTTAACTTTCACCTGCCAAACCCTGATAACCCAGTAAAGCCTGAGATTTGCCATTCTCTCTTCTGACATTTTCCAGGCCATGTCTCGTGGCACAATCATGTTCAAGGTGGTTCCAGTTTCTGACCCTCCTGTTAACAGCCAGAAGACGGTAAGAATTAACTGAACCTTCAGACCCACACACAGTAAATCCTCCACAATAACAGCAAAAAAAAAACCTTTATATTTTACTACTATCCTCTGTAATGTGTTGATCATTTGTTCAGTATTGTATTGCATATTTTTCAACACTGATGACCTGAGATGCAAATCCGTAAATGAACACAGTAAGAGGAGATGGGATATTGAGAAGCTAAGAAGTAACGTCAGGAATGGTGAACATTTGAGCAGAGACTTCTCAGAGCTAAAAGATTTTATTCCCAAAGTCACTTTTTTTTTTTCATGGCTCTTAGACTCAGTTCAAGGAGGGATTTCTTCTTGGTGAAGATGGAGAGGAAAGATAGCCGCAGTAGGTAGAAGAGTGAGAGAGATGATTTTAAGTCTTAAAAACCTGGGGATAAGGATTCTTCTGATGATTCACTGTGTGCCTACCATCAGGTGTATGTTCGTGCCATGATCGAGTACTGGCCCCAGGAGGACCCCACCATCCCTTGCATGGATGCTGGGCTGCCTTTCCAGAAGGGGGACATCCTCCAGATTGTGGACCAGAATGATGCTCTCTGGTGGCAGGCCCGGAAAATCTCTGACCTGGGTACCTGTGCTGGCTTGATCCCTTCTAACCAACTTCTGAAGAGGTAAGAAAAGTCATCACTCCTGGACCTAAGACCGAGCCATCAGAAAAGAAAACGTTTCCCGGGTTTTTGCAATTAAAGGAGACAAGCAGTGTTACTGCAGTTAAGATGAGAGAAGGAGAGACACGCTGATAGATGAACACATACTGGTCTATAAAGCCAAATGTCAACTTGTCAATATGTCCTAAACATCTTAAATACCAAAGGGACCAGGATAATTGTATCAACTGGAAAAGAGAGAAGAGTACTGGGGAAACTAAAGTTTAAAAGGTAGTTCTGACTCCCTCTATTAATCTTTTAAGTTGAAAGCTCAGTTACTGCATCTCAACTCATCACCATCACCTTGGTGCTACTGAGGTCCAAGGAAATGATTAGAGTTAGAAAGAAGATAGAATAAGAGGCCCAAGACTCAGCCAATGTTAAGAGGTCACAGAGAAGAAAATGGAACCAGCAAAAGAGACTGAGAAGCAATAGCCAATGAGACAGGTCATGAAAATTAAGATGGTTGAGTGTCCTGATCAACTATGTTCACCACTGTTGTGGAGACTGAGAATTGACCACTGGATTTAGTAAAGGAGGTCATTGGTGATCTTGATAAAAGCAATTTCAGTGGAGGGGTAGGCCAAAGTCTGAGTAAAAGGGGATTTGAAGACTTTGACAGCGATGAGCAGGGGAGAGTCTTTGAAACATTTTGTATAAGGCAGAACAGAGCAGTGGAGAAATACCTAGAGGAGAAAGCAGAGTGGTATGAGAGAGTTTTTAGGTGGGGGTAGATAATGCTAATGGGGGAAATCCAATGAGAGGGAAACTTTTCTGATACAGGAGAAAGAGGAGAGAACTGCTGCTGTTATTAGTCCTTAGGGAGGCAGATGGAGTTGTGATGAAGTCTAAAAGTAGAGGGGTTGGCCCTGTACAGGATTCTGAGCAGTTTACCCACAGTAACAGCAGCAGTAGAGAATGCAGAGTGTGGACACAGCTGGGGATGAGGGATGTGGTACAAGCTTATGGAAAGTCTCTTTCATCTGCTCTTATTTTCTTATCAACCAATGTCATAGCTGGCAGTAAAGTGGGTAGGAGGTTTTGGGAAGGAAAGAGGAGAAAGCTTGAAAAGTTTCTATGAGAACTGGAGAGAAGTTGATTGAGTAAATACAGTATCATCAGCATTAAGGACCCACTTAGGCTTCAAGTCCATAAATTTATAGTCAAATTTACATAAATTTGGTCAGCTTCCTGGGAGGACAGATCCAGACTAGACAGAGAGTCCGACTTAGCAGTAAATCAAGAGAGGGAGAAGAGAGTGTCTTTCATGACGGATCATGACGTTTATGCTAAGGAGGGAGGTGACAGTGTAGGATCAGTGGAAAGGAAGTAAGGTTAATGGATTATAGGTTCCTATGAGGTGGATAGATTATTGGAGTGGGAAGACAGAAGTCGCTGGTAGAAGAAAGGGATGTTAGACATAAAAATTATAGAGATTGTAGTTTTTGGAACTGAAGGTCTAGGGGATGACAGTGGGAGGCATTAGCTAAGGCCACTGGAAGAGAGGAGATCAAGGAACCAAGAGGCCAGGGTGTTGGAAGAGGCATTAACGTGCCAAATAAAATCATCACGAATTATGACGGAGCAGCGTTAAGAGCATGGGAGTGAGAATGGCTTCAGAAGAATCAGGAGGAGGGTACTCAAAGTGAGGGCCTCTTCTAGGGAGGAGGGAGAATGGTCTGCAGATGGCGGGACAGCGACCCCCCACCTCCAGGCCCTGAGGAGTGAGGGCTCCTGCAGTGGTGTGCTGGAGCCGGCCCTCAGAGCCCGTGTGCGCCCTTCCTCCTGGTCAGTGACATCGGGTGGCAGCTTGAAATCAGTCACAGTGGGAATGCTGACACTAGCGGAGTCAGCTAAGTTGTACTTCGGGATTCCCCTCCCCCCCAACCCTGACGGGCTGATTTACCCACACACACCTGGGGGCAGGGGCCTCTGGGGGACCCGGGTTTGGTTAGGGCAAGAAGGTGAAAGGTGAAAGTGCAAGCATTAGTCACTCAGTCGTGTCTGAGTCTTTGAGACCCCAGGAACTGTAGCCTGCCAGGCTCCTCTGTCCATGGAATTCTCTGGGTAAGAATACTGGAGTGGGTTGTCATTCCCTTCTCCAGGGAATCTTCCTGACCTAGGGATTGAACCCGGGTCTCCTGCATTGCAGGCAGATTCTTTACCATCTGAGGCTCTGGGGAAGCTCCAAGAAGGTAAAGTGTTGTGAGAGGCTTCACTAAAGGTTTGCTACCAGTTCCAGAGGGTGTGTGAAAGGAGTGGCGGGTGGTAGATGGAACAGGAATTAAAGTGCAGAGGATAAAGAATGACTTGAATTTGGGGGCTGAGGACACACACAGGGATGAAGGTCTAATGAGATAAGTCTTCATGGTCTCAGAGCAGAGAGTGGTGAGGAGGCTCTGGTGGGGGTCTTGCAAGGAGCACACAGAAATGACAGGCTCATTGGATCAGTGCACAAATAAAGGGTGACAGAATGAGTTGAAATTCATGTGGCTCTAAAGGGACTGTGGAGAGCCTCACAGCTTGGGAGGGGAACCAAAACATGCGGTGAATATTCTGAGACCCGCTGGAGCAGGCTGACACGCCGGAGGCTGGGGTGCCATGGCTCAGGCACTGAAGCCCGGGGCATGTGAACTAGGGTCATGGGCTGGGTGTTAACTCTAAGTCGGTTTGGCTCTGAAAAGATGCTGTGAGGCAGGACAAAATAAGAAAGACTGTACATTTGGAGAACGTACTTGGCAATGTGTGTGGAGGCTTCCCTGGTGGCTCAGATGGTAAAGAGTCTGCCTGCAATGCAAGAGACCTAGGTTCGATCCCTGGGTCAGGAAGATCACCTGGAGAAGGGAATGGCTATCCACTCCAGTATTCTTGTCTGTAGAATTCCAGGGACAGAGGAGCCTGGCAGGTTATAGTCCATGGCGTCACAAAGAGTTGGACTTGACTGAGCAACTGACACTTTGGAGGTAGAATCTTGTTCACTTGGTTGGAGGCAACAGAATTCTAGAAAACTTTCTGTCCTGGGTCTATCTCACCTGGGTTAACCTGGGTTCTTTTTTTTTCTTTTTCTCACGGTGTATTTGTTTTTTCACAGGAAGCAACGGGAGTTCTGGTGGTCTCAGCCGTACCAGTCTTACAACCACCTCAGATCCACCATCTGTGAGTGTGCTGACGCCTTAAATCCAGCATGTGCCTCACGAGGAAGCCAGCTCCATCTCTCCCAGGACTGGCTTCCTGCCCAATGGAGGATATTTAAACATCCCCATGCCCCAAATGGCCTTCTGGTAGCCATCTGAAATCCTACCTAAATATTCATTCCTTGGGATTTAAAAGAGTTTTCAGTTTGTGAAAATGCAAATGTCCTTGTGTCGTGACACATTCAGGGATCACTCCCCAGCTTGAAGTCCCCTGAGATATCAATGGCTAGTCTGTGCATTGCACATCTACTGACAAGCAAGGCTGCGTGGTGGCATAGTGCGTGTGCCTTTGACAAGTAAACGTGGGACTGAATTACTATTCAATGAGTGTAGTTTGTCCACTACACAGTGTTTTCAGATGGCAGTAGGGCAATGGTCAGCAAAGGCACCCACGGTGGCAAACGCTTGTGAACGATTTGCTGCCTTAATGAGGGATGTTAGCTTGCAGAGTGCAGCTAGAGCCTCCTGATCAAGGCCCTTCTGATACACTCTCGGCAGCAGTTACAGAAGGGGAAGAGGCACCCGGAGGAGGGAGAGGCCCACAGACATAGATTCGCCCATAGAGAGTTCTCACCCACTTTATTTCTCCGTTCTCTAAGTCAAAAATCCCTTTTTTTCTCTTGAAAACATGACAGCTATAAAGACATTTTTTGGGAAATAAATTCTTAGAATTCCTTTACACTGGCAATGTTTTCATACTACCTTCCAGTTATGGAACCATATTTTACATGGTTATAGTAACAGCTGCAATACTACCTTTTATCTTTTTTCCCTAATGTAACATTTTATCAGAAACATTTGTCATGATATAATCTTCATGGTGATATTCTAGTTATCTCCCCTGTGCTTTGAAAAATAGTTTGTTTCCCAAAGCAGATTGAAGGACTTCTTTAACTCATTTTTCTATTTTGTTTATCAAAGGCATATGAAAATTCTAACTCAGCTTTAATCAGTGTCTGATAACTAGTAGGACCACTTGTTCACATTTAATTTGCTTGCACAGGCTATGTGCCACTTCTATTAGACTTTTGCAAAGCCCATCTTGAAAAGAGTTTGAAGCTCTGTATTATTATCTTCACATATTTCTGAGTCCAAGAACCCCAGGTATAGAGCCCACTGACTTAAAGGATCATCTCTCACAGAGATGTTTTCGACAGAGGACATCATTATCTGAACCATCAAGTCATTTCTTTTTAGTTTTTAGTATATGTGCTGCCGAAGCGAGCACTCTTTTTAGTTTTTGTAGATGATGTTACAAATAAATATTGGTAAATATGAAATATCAAAATGAAATATTATTTCATATCTCTCTGTTCTATTGAAAGTTACTATAGGAAAAAAAAAATCTCAGGAAAGGTTACTGATTCAGAAGGTGTACACAATTTTATTACTCAAGAGTTATGGAAAAATTCCAAGCATATGTGAGTTTATAGACAGTTACTAAAGAGTTATTAACTGAAGATGCACTGTAGTTGTCACCTCTTTCCCTCCCTCCTTTCTCTCTCTTCCTTCCATCTTTTCTTCCTCTTTCCCCCTTCCTTTCTCTCCCTTTCTTCTTTTCATTCAAGATTTGAATTCTAAAAATATAATGAATGAATAATAAGTACCTTAATTCAAAATGAGTAGAATGCAACTCTTGCAGAATTTATTAGGATAGAAGGGAATAGGATTTGCCAGAAGCAAATAGATTCCGTTTCCATCAAGGCTCACGAATGTATTGGTTTCTATAGGATATTCACTTAGCATTTTGTTACTGAGTCTCCACTGAATTTTTAGAGAATAATTTTGGCACTTCACTTTTCTTAATGTAGGTAAATTCATCTGATAAATTACAGCGTAAAATATTGTGCTAATATTCTCTCTTTCCCCCCTGCTGCTTCAATCATCTGTACCCAGCGATTTCTATGGAGGAAGGTAGGAAACAGTATTTGTGGGGAAAAAAGCCTCATTTTCAAAGCCACCTAGAAATTTCCTGTAGCTTTCTTAATTCACTTCATTTCAATTCAGCTATTTAATAAGCTCTTTCTGTGTGCCTAATAGTGTTCTAGTCACTAATACCCTAATTTATAAAAAGATATCAGTCAAAAGACAACGTATACAGGGTTTGGGTTACACTGTAAACAGTTCTGAGTTGAACAATTTTAAAAGTTATATTCTTTTATTCTCGTATATATATATATATATCCTAACTAAAGGTAAAAATAGTTAAATCTTTTTGAGCACTTACCATGTGTATGAGCTTTTCCTGCATTATCTCAATCCTATCCAGTACAGTATGTATTGTTACTACCCTCATTTATAGATAGAAAATGGAGGCTTAGAGGTAAAATCATTTGTCCAGCATTCAAAAACCTATGCTTTTATAATTTTAACCATTTGATGTCCTGTAGCCTCCCATAACATATATTTTCATTGAGTACAATAGAGTCCTTTTTATCTGTCTGAGTGAGTGGTTGTTGTAAGAATAACATGATATATGATGGTCTGAGTTTCACTGCCATAAGCCTATACACAGGGGATTTTTGTTGTGATAGTAACACATTTTAATTTCATTTTTCCCCTCTCTGTACTCTTTTATAGATGATGACATGAAGATTGATGAGAAATGTGTGGAAGCAGGTAGCATTTCTTGATAGATTTACTACTAGGAGAAGTACAAAACAGCTCAACTACAGATTTTCTGAAGCAGAGTCAGTCAAAAGACCCGTGGGCCTTCTTCTCTGGAAGAAATGTATAAAATAAGTCCGCACCGCAGCATTTTCTGTGGTTCTGACACTCAGAAGGGAAGCGCAGCTGGAAGGATGTCTCCATGCTCCAGACCAACCTTTTAGAAAGTGTTCTAGAAAGGAGTATTTTGGAAGTGATCACAGAAACACACAGTAATGCTCTAGTGTTACATTCAGCAACATTCAGGAGAAATATCTAGAACCCACATGCTCTTTGTGAAATACCATGAAATACTGAGATACCAAACTTTTAAAAAGCAAAATATCTAGTTATTGTTTGATATCATATCATTCTGGTAGATCCTAGTATGATCAGTACTCATGGGTTCCAAATTTATGAGAGATATATTAAAACTTCTCACATTTCTATCCTTACACTTTTTGAAAATTGGGAAAAGATGTTTCAAATTTAGTGGCAAAACTAAGATTGACTCAAGAATCACTAGGATTTTGTTGGAAGACTAATTGGAGAGTCTTTAGTCTGATGAGTGAATGTGTCTTGGCTTTACAGTTTAATTTAGTTTTAGAAATTAAAGAATGACATGAAATGTTTAAATACTGAGTATTTCAAAGATTTATGTATATTTCCCCAGAACAACTACAGAATAATGTTGGTGTGTGTTTTTTAACTAGCAGTAATATTCATTTCCTCTCTATAATTTTAATGAAAAGTTTTTTTTTAGGTTAACCAGTCACATCTTTCAAGTTCAAAAAACTACAAAATCATATTCAGTAAAATTCCCTCTCTCTTCCTGTTTCCCTACTCGGTTTTCTTTCTCGAGGCAATAAATGCTCTGTTTCTTTGGCATCGCTCCAGACATATTCTGTGCAATGATGTATGTTTTTTCCTCCTCTCCCACATGCCTCACTCTCACTTCTTTTTAAAATACAAATGCATGCCTTTGATGGTATGCTATATATGCTGCTCTGTTCCTGGGTTTTTTTTTTACTTAAAATTGTATCTTTGGAGATGATTCCATCATAATACATAAAGAGCCTCCTCATATTTTTTTAAACAGCTTACTGATTAAGTCAGTTGTCGTGCATTTATATAATCACTTACTGGTAGACATTTGAATTATGTCCAATCTTTTCTATTATAAACAATTTCACACATGAGTAGACCTTAGGTGTAGCATCACCAGATTCAAGGGTGTATTAGTAATATTGCTATATATTTCAAATTGCTCTGCATATAAATTCTAGCTTCTTAATGCTTAATGTCTCTTTAAAAAACACTAACAATAATCATTTTAACTGATGAGGCATTTGCTTTATCTCAGGTATTTTTCAGTCGCCTAACCAACCCTAACCTGTCAAGCTATTCATATACTTCTTCCCCTTATCCTGCTCCCCTTGCTTATGGACCTCCAAAGCTCCCGGCAAGCCTCTAGAAGCTAAGCTGTATAACATCCAACCAGATATTGGAGTTTACCATGACATTCCACCTTTCCCTTCCCTCTGAGCCTCTTTTTAATTTTATTTATCCTTTTCTATTTTATGATTTTTTTTTATTCTAAGCTCCTGCTGTATCCCTTCTTGTCATCACAGCCCAGCTGCTTATATATCTCATTTAAGGCTTTATTGCTACAGACATACCCCTGAGTTGGGCTTGATTTAGGAAAAGCATTTTAGAAGTGTTGTGTGTGCAGAAACATAGGATCAGGGAATTAGACTGTTTAACTATAGACTTGCTATGGATAGTAACATAACTACACTTTTGTTTTGCCTCCATGGAAAAACGACAGATGAAGAAACATTTGAATCTGGTAAGTAAGATGTGAATATTTGGTACTGGTTTATAAATGTATTATCCAAATTTTGGTATACGTTAAACACTTTTTAGGGGTGTGAATAAATACATCAACGGTATAGTTGTGAGATATTGTAAACTTCACCTTAAGAGGCGCTTCTCATCAGGGACATTTTGGAACCCTCTGGGAGCACTGTTTTGGCTTTCATATTGACTGGGGGCACTGCTGGCCTTCCACTGCTGGGAGTTGGGGGTGCCAGGTGAGCTGCCGAGTGTGAGACTGTCCTGCACCATCTCCCGAATGTCCTGCCAGACAACACTCATTACAAATCTGAGTATGTAATTCTTTAATACACAGTAGTGATGTGAGTTTTCACAAGATGTAACATGAAAAGCTCATTGGTTTAGAAGACATTATGGAGACAGATATTTAAACAGAATAAAGACATTGCCTTGAACATGTTGAATAATTTATTCCACACATTCTGTCTAATCTGCACTGACAGAAAATAAACTGGAAAGTGAGGTATCTATACTAAATCAATTATTTCCTTTTTCTTTAACATCTTATTGTCATTATTGATGACACATGGTTTCATCCGGTATCTGGTCCTCAAAATACTGTTGACCTTGTTAGTAAAAAAAAAAAATTAAATCCCACAGAATATTTAGGGATTGGCAACCTTTGGGAGCATGTTAACCTTACTCATCCTCTTCTAGTGTATAATGTTTCATTTTCTCCACTTCATCAGTCTATAATTACTTTGTCATACATTACATCTATTTTAAGTTCCCCCTTTCCCATATATACAAATAAATTTAATCTGTTATTATTTATCAGAACATGTTTTTTTTTTCTAGTGTCCACTTGTTACTTTGCTTCTCTATTTTTCTCTACTCCATATTAGGACTATTTTCTGATCTTCTTACTTCCTTTAAAGCCATGCTTCTTCAGTATAGGTAGGTGTAAGCATCATAAGAATACTGGAGTGGGTTGCCATTTCCTTCTCCTCCAGGGGATCTTCCCGACCCAGGGATCGAACCCTGGTCTCCTGCATTGCAGGCAGATTCTTTACCAACTGAGCCACTAGGTAATCCTTCAATATAGGTAGGTATAAGCATCTAATAGTTTCTCATGTCTAATAGAGAAGTCATCCCAAAGATTTATATTTTGAAATATATACTTTTTTAAAATACAGACTTTTAAAATATAAATCACTTCCTTTTACTTTCTTTATATTCCAGTTAGAGCATTGCACAACCCACTCCAGGATTCTTGCCTGGAGGATCCCACAGACAGAGGAGCCTGGCAGACTACAGTCCTTAGGGTCTCAAAGAGTCGGACACGGCTGAAGTGACAGCACACACGCATGCAGAGCATTGCACTGGTTTTTAAAAGTTATATATGTTAGATTATATCTATCGATTTCATTTTATAAGAGTAGAGAGATTGCTGTGTATATATTAGTTATAGAAGAGATAGCATCAAGGCAGATGCTGGGAAACTACTCACCTAAATTATTTACCATTTATATTCTTTCTAAATTTCCTGTTTTCAATTAGATAATTGGCCTGTTAGGGGTGATTTAATGATCTACACTTGGTTCAGTGTTTGGGATTGGTTTAATTTTTAATTCCTCTGGATTATAGTCATCCTTCTTTGTTCTGTTCAACTCGTCATTTTGCTGGAGACACTCTGCATGCCAAAGTTGCAGCTGAGGCTTAGAGGTACTTGAGACATCTGTGAAAGGAAAGGCAGTGTTGCAGTGGTCAAAGCCATGGACTGGAGGAAGAATGTCCAAGCATGAATTCTGGCCCATTACTCGCTAACTGGGGGGCTCCTCTGTCACTTAACCTCTTTGCCCTTCAGGTTATTGTTGTTATTGTTCAGTAGCTAAGTCATGTCCAACTCTTTGCGACTCCATGGACTGTAGCATGTCAGGCTCCTCTGTCCTCCACTATCTCGCAAAGTTTGCTCCATTGAGTTGGTGATGCCATCTAACTATCTCACCCTCTGTCACCCTCTTCTCCTTTTGCCTTCCATCTTTCCAGGCATCAAGGTCTTTTCTAATGAGTCGGCTCTTTGCATCAAGTGGCCAAAATATTGGAGTTTCAGCTTTGGCAACAGTCCTTCCAATGAATATTCAGGACTGATTTCCTTTAGGATTGATTGATTTGATCTCCTTTCAACCCAAGGGACTCTCAAGAGTCTTCTCCAACACACGGCTCCAAAGCATTAATTCTTTGGTGCTCAGCCTTCTTTATGGTCCAACACTCACATCTGTAAATGACTACTGAAAAACCATAATTTTGACTAGATGGACCTTTGTCAGTAAAGTAATGTCTCTGCTCTTAATATGCTGTCTAAGTTGGTCATAGTTTTTCTTCCAAGGAGCAAGCGTCTTTTAATTTCATGGTTGCAGTCACTGTCTGCAGTGATTTTGGAGCCCAAGGAAATAAAATCTGTCACTGCTTATACTTTTTCCCTTCCTATTTGCCATGAAGCGATGGGACTGGATGCCACTATCTTAGTTTTTTTTAATGTTGAGTTCTAAGCTAGTTTTTCACTCTCCACTTTTACCCTCATCAAGAAGCTCTTTAGTTTTTCTTCATTTTCTGCCATTAGCGTGGAATCATCTACATACCTGAGGTTGTTGATATTTCTCCCAGCAATCTTGACTCCAGCTTGTGATTCATCCAGCCCAGCATTTCACATGATGTACTCTGCATATAAGTTAAATAAGCAGGGTGACAATATACAGCTTTGACGTACTCCTTTCCCAATTTTGAACCAGTCCATTGTTCCACGTCTGGTTCTAACTGTTGCTTCTTGACCCACATATAGGTTTCTCAAGAGACAGGTAAGGCGATCTGGTATTCCCATCTCTTTAAGAATTTTCCACAGTTTATCCTTCAGGTGCTCCATGTCTGAAGTGGGAAAAATTATATATATAAAACATGCTTAGAACATAAGTGCCTAAGGGTTAGCCAGCATTATTATAAAGAAATACAGGGGGCAATCAGCAGTTAGTTCTCTAATAGAACTGCAGAGGAAAGTATGCAGCTGCCCTTAGTCAAGGTAAAGCACTCCCTCTGGACTCCTCTTGGTTGAAAGAGTGAGAACTCTCAAGTACATTCTGAATCCTCCTCACTTAGGAGCTCAGTTAAGGAACAATTGGCTCCAGGCTGGCATTTTTTTCTAAGATGCTTAATTCTGTTCCTTGAGCACTTAATGGGCAGTTAAGTTTCTTAAATTTTGTCCCCAACTTGTCTCTGAATGAAGTATCATGTGACCTCTTTGAATACCTCTGGATGGTATAATCTAATTAGGAATTCAATTTACACACACACACACACACACACACACACACTCACACTCTCTCTCCCCTGCCAAAAACAGACAAACAAAAACAGGGATGATAGATGTTTCAAGATGTCTAGAAAACAAAGAAAAGAGTATGCTTTGTGTTTAGTTACACCTATCTTCAAGGGGCCAACTGGAGGTGGAATATGTAACTGGGCCTGGGATGGGTAAGGAATGAGGATGGTGTGGCTAAAGGCTGCCAGTGCCCCTTGCACCACTTCCTTCACATCACAGGGTTGCAGGCAGATGGCCTCTGGCAGAGAAAGAGAGAGAAGGCTCACATCAGTTGACTTCCTCTAATTTCTCTCTTTCAATCCCCATTCTGTGATAGCTGGGTAGAGGGAAGTCTGCATGGATAGAGGGCCTTCGAGGAGAGTTGAGATAAGCAGCTTTCAGAAAGTTAGAATCTGCTGGGCAGCAGACACAAGTCCAGTGAGTTTCTGGGTCTAGTTTGTGTGCTGTTCATCTTGCCCAGCTTACAACTTTCTCTAAGGGTAACACGAATGCCTCACTTGTGTCTATTGTTTGTTTATCTTTAGTTTGCCAACTTGATCTCCTCAAAGGCTTAACTTTTTCATGTCTGTTTCTTAACTTACCAAAATATCCAGAGGAACTTTCAGAAGGTAACTATTCATTTTTATGTCCTTGGTACGCCAAATAGAGCTATGTTTGAGATCTTTCAAACATGCCTCAACATGAATACTTCACTGGAAATGTTTTAAGATATGATATTTTAAGGATGAAATCAATGATGAGATATTCAATGTCATAGAAAATACATTTAAATGAACAATGAAAGTAGTTAGTTTTATGACTATATCCCTAAGTAAACATTTTCTTTTAAACTTATTGCCAATTTTCGGTTAGAAAATTGTGCTTACTTACCAGAGGATGGAATTGATACTTGTGTGTTTTCTTTATATTTTAAAATGTGTGTTTAAACACAAAAATTAAGAAAGATCTATGTCATTTCATTCTATGAATAAATGCTCTTTCTATATTATTTCAATGATCAGAACAGAGTTGTGTAAGTGAAAAAGAATACATTAGTAAGAAGTAATTTCAAATGACGGTTTTATAACATTTTTTCCCCGTAGTTTTGGATAATTTTTCTGAGACCCCAGTGGAAGCAGAGACAGAAGTTTAAACTAGCTCTAGATGTTACTACTAGGCACAGTTTTCCACTCTTTTGTCTCTCAGAGTCCTGGACAGTCAGAAAGAATTTGCTTCTATAAAGCAAATACTAATTTTCTACAGAATGAACCATTTCATAAAGGAAAAAATAACAACCCATTAAATTAATTATTGGACCTACAGAACACCATATCTATTAATTAAAGCCAAAAACAGTTTATAAGTTTCCTTTTTAAAAAATCAGTTTTCCTTGGGAACATTTAAAAATGTATACCCAAATATATGTTTTTCACTATGACTCTATTTCTTATAACTTTAAAGAAGCCTATAATAGATTTTTGTTCCAACTATACTAGACAGAATATATTCAGTGTATTGCTAAATTTCTGGAGCGTGTCTCTATATAGTTTAGTGCATGTGATAAAATGGAAAGTGCTTAGGACAGTTTTCAATAAGCTGCCAAGGACAAATTCAGCTGTGCAGCTATCTGCTGAAATAGTGTCACTTGAGGATTTAAAGGTTATTTCATGTACCCCTTCTAAGCAAACTTCTCTTTCTCCTTAACATATTCTGTTCCTGCCATTTGCCGTGTTCCAGACAAGGAGGAATTTGTTGGCTATGGTCAGAAGTTCTATATTGGTAGGTAATGATTAATAAAAGGTGGTTCTTTGTCACTTGCTAAGTTATATTCATACCATTATGGATAAGCCTGGCTCTTCTGAAAGCTTCTTTTGCTGATGGGTGTTCTGAAGCTGGTTTCTCTCTATGCTTTTTTTTTTTTTTTTAAAAATCAGCCAGTGGCCCCATTTTTTTTTTTTTTTTAAGGCTCCCAGATGATTTCAGTATACATCCAGGCCTGGGGACCAACATTTTGCTTTCCAGACCCTGCAGCCTTTCTATTGCTTCCTATCTTCTTTTTTTTTTTTTTTATCATTTATTTTTATTAGTTGGGGGCTAATTACTTTACAATATTGTAGTGGTTTTTGCCATACATTGACATGAATCAGCCACGGATTTACATGTGTTCCGCATCCCGATCCCCCCTCCCGTCTCCCTCTCCATCCCATCCCTCTGGGTCTTCCCAGTGCACCAGGCCCGAGCACTTGTCTCATGCATTCAACCTGGGCTAGTGATCTGTTTCAATGCTGTTCTCTCTGAACATCCCACCCTTGCCTTCTCCCACAGAGTCCAAAAGTCTGTTCTCTATATCTGTGTCTCTTTTTCTGTTTTGCACATAGGGGTATCGTTACCATCCTTTTAAATTCCATATATATGCGTTAGTATACTGTATTCATCTTTATCTCTCTGGCTTACTTCACTCTGTATAATGGGCTCCAGTTTCATCTATCTTATTAGAACTGATTCAAATGAATTCTTTTTAATGGCTGAGTAATATTCCATTGTGTATATGTACCATAGCTTCCTTATCCATTCGTCTGCTGATGGGCATCTAGGTTGCTTCCATGTCCTGGCTATTATAAACAGTGCTGCGTGAACATTGGAGTGCACATGTCTCTTTCTTCTACCTTCAGGCACACATGTGTCAACTCTTTCCGCGACTTCCCTGGCAGTCCCTCGGTTAAGACTCTGCCCTTCTCCTGCAGGGGGGCATGTGTTCCATCTCTGCTCTGAGAACTAAGATCCCACGTAAAAAAATAAAATGAACTCTTTCGAATCACAGTCGCTGCCTGTTTCTCCAGGTAGAAGGCAGGAAGAGAGTTCCCCTGCCCTGGATCTCACGGTCCCTCCGTTTCCACCCTCGCAGCGGGTTTCCGCCGCAGCATGCGCCTGTGCCGCCGCAGGGCCCACCGAAGCCAGCTGCGCGCCCAGGGGTGCGGCGCCAGCAGCTGCGCCGGCGCGGTGGGCGCCCCGTACGAGGAGGTGGTGAGGTACCAGCGACGCCCCGGCGACAGGCACCGCCTCATCGTGCTCGTGGGTATGTCCCCTGGGCAGTCTCCCCACCCGCGGCGAGGTTCCCCTGCCTTCAGTAGTCTTGCATTGGGCGTAGTAGTAAAAGTAGGACTCTGTGGGCCTGCACATTTTTTTTTTTTTTAAAGACGAAACCGTTTTTTAATGTGTTTGTTTATAAATAGAACGTTATTAATTATACTTTTAATGTCTACAGTTGAATGCGGTATGCCATGGTGTATATGAACCTGTGTAACAACAAGGTGTGATATGATGAGGTTATAACAGGTTTTTCTTTTGTTCTGTTTAGAATTTCTTTTAGAAGCATGGATGAAATGTTTCCCACCGCCCCCCTCCCCCCCCCACCCCTGCACTGGATCATTAATCTATATTCGGAATAAAAATGCTTAATATCCATTTCCCTAAGAAGTGTGTAACCCTCTCCTTTAGGAGAGTTTCTGAAAAGCTTCTGGAGTGTGTCTTTGGTGCTAAAGAACAGGGCACATATAGCGCTGGGATGACCTGCGTTGTGACCCAGTTGTCTACAAAGCTGGTCCCTGCCGTAGGTGCTGTTCACTCAGTCGTGTCCACCTCTTTGTGACCTGACCCCGTGGACTGCAGCACGCCAGCCTTCCCTGTCCTTCACCATCCCCTGGCGCTTCCTCAAACTCATGTCCATTGAATCAGCGATTGCCATCCAGCCATCTCTTCCTGTGTCCTCCCCTTCTCCTGCCTTCAGGCTTTCCCAGCAGCAGTAGTAACTCACCTCTTACTGTCATCTTCTCTGTGTATTCCAGTTGTGATGAAGGCAGGCCCCTTTGAAGCAGAACAACATACCTCACAGCCAGGACCAGCTACAGAATTTTCAGGGCACAGAGCTAAATAAAAATCCAAAAGCCCCTTATTCAAAAACAAAGACTATCAGTGTGGCGAAGGAAGAGCATTAAGCCAAGTGCAGCAGCCTGAGCATCGGCTCGTGGCTCAGTTCTCTGCCCAGAAGCCAGCCCTGCCTCCATTGCACACGGGGTGTTGACTTCTCCACCCGTTGTCAGGGATGTGTCCCTCAATTCTGTAATTGTGGAAGCCGATTTCTGGGTTGTGCTGTGATAGGAACTTCATGGGAAGGGGAAAGGCAGCTTGTCTCAAATGATCTGACATGAGGCCAGAGACTTCTGAGTAGCCAATACTAGGCAAAGTTTTCTGGGGTGACATGTTCCTGCAACTCCCTACCTCTTTTCTGAATGTTGAAGAAGTGTGGGTTACTCCACAGGTCATCAGGAAAATTCCCAAGAATTTTCTGGGGTTATTTCAATTCACGAGAATGGAAGTGACTTTATTTTCCCTGTAAAAACATGCACGCTCAAGTGTCTTCAGTGGAAGGATCAAAGTGCTGGTTTCACCACATACCTCTGCTTATCCACCTCTAATAATTTCTATATGTGATGTTTTGTGTTTAGGACCTTCTGGTGTTGGAGTAAATGAACTGAGAAGACAACTTATTGAACTTAATCCTAACCGCTTTCAAAGTGCCGTGCCACGTACGTTTACTTTTTCTTTCATAGGGGTTCACACTGGAATAAGACTTTCTTTTTACAGATGCAAAAAGATCTGCAGATGCACTGATCTCAACTATGTTATACCATCTTTTTTTGTGAGAAAGTAAGACAGATAGTCCTCAGTATTTCTAACTGAGCATATTTTAATAGAGGAAATTGATTTACTAGCATGTAGCTAGCTAGATAGGCTTTTGAAAAGTGATTCTTTTTTTTTTTTCCTTTGCTTAGCAATCATATACATAACCTTTTAGGAAAACTAAATATTTAACAATAATGGCTAACATTCATTCAATATTTACAATCCTCCTGGCAGTGTGCTTGGCTCTTTGAATGCTTTATCATATTGTTTATTTTAATATATGCACATATGATTTTAAAATCAACTATAGACAGGCAAGCCTGGTGTGCTGCAGTTCATGGGGTCTTAAAGAGTTGGACATGACTGAGCTCCTGAACAAGACCAATAACTATTATACCATCCAAGATGAAGGAGCATGTGGATGTGGGTGCTTCCCCTTTACCTCAGGGCAAGAGAGAAGAAGTTAGGAAAACCACTTAAAGAGCTTAATGTGTGTTTTGTGCTATTTGGGAGACATGGAAGACTGGACTCAGAATTATATCTGAAATATCTAAAGCATGATAGCTTAGAGGAAGTGGCCAAAGGCTGTTTGGGGGAGGTAGCTGCCATTTCAGAGTCTGTCACTGCCAAAGAGTTGTGATTTTTTTTTTTCCCCAAAGACCAGATCTGGGTGGATAATGTGGAAGAAAGTCTGCCTGGGGTTGTCTTGGTTCCTGCCCAAGAGGAGGCCTCAATGAAAGGAGATCAAACGTGAAGCCCTGGGTACCTGAGGGTATGAAAGAAATCACAGATGACTAGGTGGAATAGAGATGGATTTGAGATACCCAGTACCGGTGGTAGAGGGGTAGGCTTTGCAAAATAACCCACTGAATCCTCTGGGAGATTAAGAGCCAGATTTAAACGTCTGCTAAGTCTAAAAGGAGCCATGAGAAGCCAGCATCAGCATCAATTAAGTAAGAGTTTTCCTGCCCTGCTGGCTCCCCCTCTCTCTCTGCACTTAGCCTTGGAGAGTTATAAAACTGGAGGAGGAGCAGTAGGAATGCAGTGAAAGGGAAGAGAAGAGAATCAAGCTCCCTTTCCTGATTTCTGACTTCTCTGATGTCAGGCTTCCCTTGGTGTAGCAAGTCTGAGCCAGCTGTGGGGAGAAGGAGCCTGAAATAAATAAATAAAGTTCATAATTTTGATTATTACATAGAAACAGAATCTTAATTATTGAGACTGAGTTTCAGGCATAAATTATATTGAAACTTAAAAAAAAAACCAAAAACCTAATAGTAATCAGAAGAATTTGAGAATTTCATCCAGGGCCAAACAAATGAAGTTGTTTTTTATGATCACATCCCATAGGGTGTGCTTTCCAAGTACTGTTTACCTATGTAAGAATGGGTACTACAAAGCAAAAACTAATAAAGAAATCACCACTTGCAATAATCTGGATAAAAACAAAATGCCCACAAAATGTAGAATTGTATGTTGTTTGGATAACCATCATTCAAAATGGGAATATGTTGCCCATATTTTGCTCTTTAAATTGAGTGAATGGTTTTAAGCTCAGAATGAATGCCTCAAGTCATTCATCAATTCACAGACCTTAGCCTATCATATATAACATAGTAGGATAGACGTCAAGGAGAAGGGGTTATCTTAGGCTGATAGTAACATCATTTTCTATCACCTGAGAACTAGATTTTTTTTCAGTGCAAAGCTATAGGAGGGTAGCATAACTGTAGGAACTCTGAGGATCTAAACAGAGGCTTGAATAAAGAAAAAAATTTTGCTTTTTGAGCTTCTTGAAATGTTCAGTTAGTTCAGTTCAGTCACTCAGTCGTGTCCGACTCTTTGCAACCCCATGAACTGTAGCACGCCAGGCCTCCTTGTCCATTGCCAACTCCTGGAGATTATTCAAACTGACATCCATTGAGTTGGTGATGCCATGCAACCATCTCATCCTCTGTCATCCCCTTCTCTTCCTGCCTTCAATCTTTGCCAGAATCAGGCTCTTTTCAAATGAGTCAGTTCTTCACATCAGGTGGCCAAAGTATTGTATCTTGAAATGTTGGGAACTCCTTTTATCATTTAGGGCCTATTTCAATTTCCTTCTTGGTCATTTCCATGTGTTGGTATCATCAGATGTCGATCTATTTCATCTTTAAACTTTATCAAATGTAAATACACATTTTTATGAATAAGGAGAATTTATTGTAATGCAGGTTAAGGGACTAGCAGCTTTATAGTTTATACAGGTCACAGAGCTGGAACCATGTCTTATTCATCTTTGTGTTCTAAGAAATTAACGTGATAGCTGGAACATAGGGACTCAGTGCACGTTAGTTGAATAAATGGGTAAGCAGACAAGAATCACTTTTAGGTAGTCAGTGAACTCCTGTGTCCTATACCAGGTACTGTTTAGGTTGAAGAATCTATGAACAAAGTGGTCATATCAAAGAGTCAGATTGAATCTAGACTCTACCAATCTTTTCTTTCTGGAGATCCCTAAAACTGATCACCAGCTTACTTGGATGTTAATGCATCTGAGCAAGACTACAGAGTGTCAGGGGCTCTATTTCAAATCCGACACAACCTGCTGTGGTCGAAGAGATTGGTTTGGGAGGAGTCAGGGCACCTAGGTGCTTGTTGACAACTTTGTTTTTCACTAGTTTTGTTCACATGAGCAGGTTAGTTACTCTCTAAAATCTTTAGTTACTTATCAGTAAACTACAGATAGCATTTCACCTAGCTAGGAATACGAAGGATGAAATGAGACCCTTGGGAGATGCATTATCTAACCATAAGACATTGCTGGTTTTGCTACCTGAGGGCCTTTAGGCACCATGTGTGTGCGTGCTCAGTCACTAAGTCCTGTCTGACTCTTTGTGACCCCGTGGACAACAGCCCACCAGGCTTTTCTGTCCATAGGCTGTTCCAGTCAAGAATACTGGAGTAGGTGGACACTTCCTCTTCCAGGGGAGCTTCCCAACTCAGGGATTGAGCCCGCGTCTCCTGTGTCTCCTGCACTGCAGGTGGATTCTTCAGCATTGAGCCCTTAGGCACCACAGGGCTCACAGATAATTTACCACTTCCCGTCCCGAAGTATCCACAAGAGTTCCTTTAGAGCTTCTTTCAGTTCAGTTCAATTCAGTCGCTCAGTTGTGTCCAACTCTTTGCAACCCCATGAATCGCAGCACGCCTCCCTGTCCATCACCAACTCCCGGAATTTACTCAAACTCATGCCCATCGAGTCGGTGATGCCATCCAGCTGTCCCATCCTCTGTCGTCCCCTTCTCCTCCTGCCCCCAATCCCTCCCAGCAACAGGGTCTTTTCCAATGACTCTACTCTTCACATGAGGTGGCCAAAGTATTGGAGTTTCAGCTTCAGCATCAGTCCTTCCAATGAACACCCAGGACAGATCTCCTTTAGGATGGACTGGCTGGATCTCCTTGCAGTCTAAAGGACTCTCAAGAGTCTTCTCCAACACCACAGTTCAAAAGCATCAATTTTTTGGTGCTCAGCTTTCTTTATAGTCCAACTCTCATATCCATACATGACCAATGGAAAAACCATAGCCTTGATCAGATGGGCCTTTGTTGGCAAAGTAATGTCTCAGCTTTTTAATATGCTATCTAGGTTGGTCATAACTTTCCTTCTAAGGAGTAAGCGCCTTTTAATTTCATGGCTGCAATCACCATCTGCAGTGATTTTGGAGCCCAGAAAAATAAAGTCTGACACTGTTTCCACTGTTTCCCCATCTATTTGCCATGAAGTGATGGGACCAGATGCCATGATCTTAGTTTTCTGAATGTTGAGCTTTAAGCCAACTTTTTCACTCTCCTCTTTCATTTTCATCAAGAGGCTTTTTAGTTCTTCTTCACTTTCTGCTATAAGGGTGGTGTCATCTGCATATCTGAGGTTATTGATTTCTCCTGGCAATCTTGATTCCAGCTTGTGCTTCTTCCAGCCCAGCGTTTCTCATGATGTACTCTGCATAGAAGTTAAATAAGCAGGGTGACAATATACAGCCTTGACATACTCCTTTTCCTATTTGGAACCAGTCTGTTTTTCCCTGTCCAGTTCTAACTGTTGCTTCCTGATCTGCATACAGGTTTCTCAAGAGGCAGGTCTGGTGGTCTGGTACTCCCATCTCTTTCAGAATTTTCCACAGTTTATTGTGATCCACAGAGTTGAAGGCTTTGGCATAGTCAATAAAGCAGAAATAGATGTTTTTCTGGAACTCTCTTGCTTTTTTGATGATCCGGCGGATGTTGGCAATTTGATCTCTGGTTCCTCTGCCTTTTCTAAATCCAGCTTGAAAAAATAAATAAATAAATAAATCCAGCTTGAACATCTAGAAGTTCACGGTTCACATATTGCTGAAGCCTGGCTCGAAGAATTTTGAGCATTACTTTACTAACATGTGAGATGAGTGCAATTGTGTGGTAGTTTGAGCATTCTTTGGGATTGCCTTTCTTAGGGATTGGAATAAAAACTGACTTTCTCCAGTCCTGTGGCCACTGCTGAGTTTTCCAAATTTGCTGGCATATCGAGTGCAGCACTTTCACACATCATACAAGACCTTTTAGAACTAATACCCAAAAAAGATATCCTTCTCATTATAGGGGACTGGAATGCAAAAGTAGGAAGTCAAGAAATACCTGGAGTAACAGGCAAATTTGGCCTTGGAGTACAAAATGAAGCAGGTCAAAGGCTAACAGAGTTTTGCCAAGAGAACGCACTGGTCATAGCAAACACCCTCTTCCAACAACATAAGAGAAGACTCTATACATGGACATCACCAGATGGTCAACACCGAAATCAGATTGATTATATTCTTTGCAGCCAAAGATGGAGAAGCTCTATACAGTCAGCAAAAACAAGACCGGGAGCTGACTGTGGCTCAGATCATGAGCTCCTTATTGCCAAATTCAGACTTAAACTGAAAAAAGTAGGGAAAACCACTAGACCATTCAGGTATGACCTAAATCAAATCCCTTATGAATATACAGTGGAAGTGAGAAATAGATTTAAGGGACTAGATCTGATAGACAGATTGCCTGATGAACTATGGACAGAGGTTCGTGACGTTGTACAGGAGACAGGGATCAAGACCATCCCCATGGAAAAGAAATGCAAAAAGGCAAAATGGTTGTCTGAGAAGGCCTTACAAATACCTGTGAAAAGAAGAGAAGTGAAAAGCAAAGGAGAAAAAGAAAGATATTCCCATTTGAATACAGAGTTCCAAAGAATAGCCAGAAGAGATAAGAAAGCCTTCCTCAGCGATCAGTGCAAAGAAATAGAGGAAAACAACAGAATGGGGAAGACTAGAGATCTCTTCAAGAAAATGAGAGATACCAAGGGAACATTTCAGGCAAAGATGGGTTCAATAAAGGACAGAAATGGTATGGACCTAACAGAAGCAGAAGATATTAAGAAGAAGTGGCAAGAATACATAGAAGAACTGTACAAAAAAGATCTTCATGACCCAGATAATCACAATGGTGTGATCACTCACCTAGAGCCAGACATCCTGGAATGTGAAGTCAAGTGGGCCTTAGAAAGCATCACTATGAACAAAGCTAGTGGATGTGATGGAATTCCAGTTGAGCTATTTCAAATCCTGAAAGAGCCTCTTTATCTTGGCTAAATACGATACATTCTGGTCTAGTCTATACTACAAACACTTAACAAAGGTTTATGATTAGCTCATTTTGATATGGGAACTTCTACTTTCTTATCACCAATCAGGCTCCCTTTTTTTTTTGTTCTAGCATTTTATCTATCTGCTTATGTATTAATTTATTTATTTTGATCATCTTTATCCAAATGCATATGGGTAATAAGTCCAAATATTTTGTAGATTCTAAAATCTTTTAAAAATTCCCTATTTTGACAGATACTACTCGTTCCAAAAAGAGTTATGAAATGGATGGTCGTGAGTATCACTATGTGTCAAAGGAAACATTTGAAAGCCTCATGTACAGTCACAGGTAAGCTAGACATTCAGAATCTAATTCTCCCCTCTGGTTGTTTTATACTTAAAATAGATCTCTTATTTTCATGCTTTGTCTAAAACTTCTGGGATACATTTTTTATTCTGAAAAATTAAGTAAGAAAATGTATATTGATTTACTAGTACACTAACTCATTGAGTTTGGAGAAGGAGCTGAACTGAGTTGCAAATTTTAGAGAATTTGGAGTAGTTAAGTCCTAGATCTCCTAATATATATTTTTCCTGTTGAATATCCACTAATTCATTTATCAGGATCCACGTATTTTACTCTGTTCTGTTGGGATTTATCTCTGTTATTGCTAATAATATTTTACCTGTACAAACAGTTCTTGTTTTCCTGATCTCTCCCTTGCAGGATGCTGGAGTATGGGGAGTACAGAGGCCACTTGTATGGCACCAGTGTGGATGCTGTTCAGGCAGTCCTTGATGATGGGAAGATCTGTGTTTTGGACCTAGAGCCTCAGGTGGGTCTGTGGTGCAATACTCCCCATCTCCCTAAAGTAATGAATGCATGCCATTCAGTTTTTGCACATGCTTTAAGCTGTAGTTAAGACACTTTATTCTGTTAGGATAAGACTACTTCCCATATAGAAGGACCAGGATCTTACTTGAAAAATCAGTTGTCATTATCTTGTCTTTTTAGTTGGTAAAAAAAAAAAAAATCTAGTTTCTCAGATCTTCTCCCACCACCCCCCCAAAAAACAATAGCAACAACAGAAAATAAAATAAAAAACAAAACTAAAAAAAAACAAAAACAAAGTGAAAAACCCCCCAAAATGAGCAGGCAGCCATAAAGAAAACTGAGGATCTTTAAAAAAAAAAAAAAAAACTGAGAATCTTGCTTTGCCTTTGATTACAAAGGCATCAAGGTAACTTCTTGTGGAGGGAATAAAATGTTGCTTTATGCAAGGAGATGAGGTTCCTGTGTTATTATATCAATAGCTGTCTCCCTGAGACCATATGTGAAATAGAGCAGGAGTGAGTGAGTTAAGGTGAGATAAAGAACATACAATGTGTTGTCAAAATTTTTATAAACCTTGTGTTTACTTTATGTTTTCTGTAGTCATGTAAAAATAATACCTTGTGTGCTAATCAGAGGACAAGAGAGTTGTTCTCGTTTGGACCGAAGCTGTGGTCAGCATGAAGATGTCAGTATCATCTGTTATGAGACAATGGCAAGAGGAAAGGGAAGTGAGGGAGCTGATTGGCCTGGAGAGTCTGTCTTTGTCTTTTCCCCATGCGATCATGTGTAGAATCCTATTCTCAGGTTTCAATAAGGGTGTCATGGCTAGTATGAGGAAGAGCCAGGATTTGACCTTAATTTTGATTCCAGAACTCCATCTCTTAATTATTAAAATGTTTTTTAGAGTTGAGGACTTGGGAGCACATGAGAATATACTCTGGCTAAAAATAACTGCTCATTTCTGGTCTTAGAAATTTTGAGAACATTCATGTTGACTCTAGAAAATTAGGACTTGTGTTTTTAGATCCTATATTTAATATTCTCTTGAGATATTTCAGCTACTAGGACTTCTTTTTTTCTCATTTTTTTCTTCATTATTTTTTTTTCCCAAACTTTACTTCTATTTTGTATCGGGGTAGAGCTGATTAGCAATGTTGTAGTAGTTGCAGATGGACAAGGAAGGCACTCAGTCATACATACACATGTAAGGACCTCTGTTTTAAAAGTGCATTTAATTTTCCTGTGTAGGGTATTCAAGTGGCTCGAACCCAAGAACTGAAGCCCTATGTCATATTTATAAAGCCATCTAACATGAGTTGTATGAAGCGATCTCGGAAAAATGCCAAGATTATTACAGACTACTTTGTGGACATGAAGTTCAAGGTAAGATACAGAGGAGATAGATGAGTATATTGTTTTTTTTCCCAGTCAAAAAATTACTGTATTATTCCACAGTATTCCTGTGTTAAGGAATGTAATTTTTGTTTCTCATGAATACTACCCTTATGAGTTATCCTTATTAAATATCATTTATAGATATTAAAGTTTAATAAATACTCTTATTTTTCTTCTCTTTTTGGGTCTAGCTTTAAAAGAAAAGGCCCTCAAGTCACAATTTGCAAAACCACACAGAAATTGGGTGTGTGTACTTAAAATGGATTATTTATTTTACAAAGTATTTGAATTTACTTTAAAATACTCCAATTAATTATATCATCTATTATATGAGATCTCTTTATAAATATATTAAAACATAAAAGATGTTTATTAATAATTATGGCAATAATAGAGGGGCCAGGCCAGGTGGGATTAATCAGTAATTTTCCCATATATATGTATATTTTTCATTAAATATACTTTAAATATTTTAAGTCATAACATACATTTAGTAAGGTGTATAAATCTTAAGTGTACAGTTCAAAGAATTTTTACAGGGTGTATGCACCCAGGTAACCATCATCTAGATCAAGATGTTATATCCACTTGTGTGTGATGCACGCATGTGTGTGTGTTTATGTGGTGTGGTAAAAAACATATAACATAAAACAAGACTTACCGTCTTACCCATTTTAAGTGTACAGTTAAGTAATGTTAATTCTCTTCATATTGTGAAGCAGATCTCCAGAACTTTTTAATCTTGTAAAACAAATTAAATATATGGATTGCTTTATGAATTTGCATGTCATCCTTGAGTAGGGGCCATGTTAATCTCTACATCATTCCAATTTTATATATGTGTTGCTGAAGTGAGCATAAGGTATCTTTGTATTATCCGTTACCTCTCATTATTTTTATCTTCATTATTTTTTCAAAGATTACTATATGGAAGTTTGATTCTCCAGTTTGCATTTCAGACAGTGGAGTCTATGTATATATTCTCTGAGTCTTAATTAAATTCTGTTCTCAGTTTTATGGCAATCTGAAAAGTTAACAAAATTGTTTCTAAGTCTTGAGTATGGTCACCTTGTAAAGGAGTACTGCCACAAGATCTCAGTGCCCATGTTTATATTTGTATTTATGACAAGTTGTACTAATTATTGTAGACAAATAAGAAAATAATAGCAATGAATTTAATGTATTAGTGCCAAGTGAAGGCCAAATGATCTTGAATAAATGATTTCACAACAGTAGAAATAGACATTATAGGTGAAGTCAGTCATCATGAAGAGTAATTTAGAAATGGCTCATTTGAAGAACCATGTCATACCATCATGTTGAAAGTGGCCATTTGTGTCTGCAAAATAATGTCATTCTTATCAGATTAATGTTCATTTGCAATTTATGTTTAATTTTTATTTATATTTAACTGATAAAATTTCTTTGGTTTTATGTTGTATGTGGTTTGAGAGCTCCAAGTGTTTAGATAATAGAATAAGATAATTTAAGTCCGAATAGGAATTTGAGAGGATTGGTTGTCTACAAACTATTAACTCAACTTTATGAAAACTTGATCTGGGAGACATTAAGTAAGACTAAACACAGAAACATAAGTTTTATGGTTAGACTGGAGAACATTTACATGACCTGTTTTTATAAACAGCTACAGTTCTGAGTATAACAGCATAACTGCCTATTATTTCTATTCATCTCATTAAGTTTGCTATTTGTATTTTTCTATTTTTCCTAAAGGATGAAGATCTACAAGAGATGGAGGATTTAGCCCAAAAAATGGAGACTCAGTTTGGCCAGTTTTTTGATCACGTGATTGTGAACGACAAGTTGCAAGATGCATGTGCCCAGTTGCTGTCCGCAGTTCAGAAGGCTCAGGAGGAGTCTCAGTGGGTACCAGCAACATGGGTTTCCTCTGAGACGGAATCTTAAAGAGGCCTTATGCCTAATACTGGAGTTTTAACAATGTTCATCCGTTCCCTAGAGCTGGAAAAACAGCTATAATCTAAAACATCAGTGTCATATTTGCTCTATTATAATATGTGCAGCTGCAAAAGTGCTGCAGTTTGTTCATCTTATTTGAAAGAAATTTGTATGGTTATGTAATCTATTTGGATTTCAGGGCAAAAAAATGTTTTCCTTTACCTTATATGCAGCAATTGTTAGGGAACAATGTTAAGTCACTGAGTATGAGGACTTTTCATAGATTTCCCATGGCCTTTGTGTGATTCAGATAAAAAAGAGCTTTCCTAAATAAAATACATTCTATTTAACTTCAGAAACTGTATTTTGCCTTATGAAACTTGTTTTATAAACATGGATTTTTCAAAAAGTACCCAGTTTAACTGCAAGAAGGAAGGATCAATACAAAAATCACCTCTAACACCAAAACTTAGAGAAACAGCACTGCTCTCATTTTACACACTAAACTACAAGGAAAAATTATTCTTTTGATCAGGGCTGTAGCAATCACTAATCTTACCCCCAAATCCAGTATCTACATTTATGCCTAAATTAGGAAAGAGCAATGAATTTTAGTGCTAAACAGAAACATCTGAGAAAACAAGGGGATGAGGATGTTATTCCACGAACTCGGAGACTTCCAGTCGCTCTTCCTGCCCTTACATATGTTCACCTTCCGGATCACTCCCGTGTTGTTCAGTCGCTCAGTCATGTGGACCCCATGGACAGCCAGGTTTCCCTGTCCTTCACCATCTCCTGGAATTTCCTCAAACTCGTGTCCACTGAGTCGGTGATGCCATCCAACCATTATATCCTCTGTTGCCCCCTTCTCCTGCCCTCAGTCTTTTCCAGGGTCTTTTCCAATGAGTCTGCTCTTGTCATCAGGTGGCCAAAGTACTGCAGCTTCCACTTCAGCATCAGTCCTTTCAACGAATTGATATACTTTAGGACTGACTGGTTGGATCTCCTTGCAGTCCAACGGACCCTCAAGAGTCTTCTCCAAAACCACAGTTCAAAAGCATCAATTCTTTGGTGCGCAGCCTTCTTTTATGGTCCAGTTCTCACATCCATACAGGACTACTGGATCATTCCCTAACTTTCCCCATATCCGTGCCATCCATCTGCTCTTTCTTAACTATTGAGCAAACTGAGTGTATGCTTCAAAATATCTGTAGTTTTTAATTTAAAGTGACCAAGCATTATTTTTCTCAGAAACCCAACCAAACAAAACGAAGAAAACTGTCATTTTTTAACACTTATGTGAGCCAAGATTTTATGTCCTGCGTCTTTGGATGGAGGGTAAGTAACTGGAGAAAATTTGAGAATTGCCTGTTTCAACACACACTCACTCACTCATACCCGAACCTAAACGTTAGGTCGGGTGGCTAAACGCTAGCGTCTCTCAACCCCGAAGCCTCGGAACGCGAAGGCTGCCAAAGCGGAGGCGGGCGGAGACCTGGCCCGGGGGCGGCGGCCTAGTCCGGCACCGCAGAGCCCCCGCCTCCCGCCGGTCCCGAAGGCTGCAGCGTCGCGGGGAACCAGGCTCCCGCCGGCAGCAGTTGCGCCGAGGGAGTCCAGGCGAGCAGAGCGCCATGAGGGCCGACTCCAGGCTCGGGGTGGAGGAGGACCACCGGGTGAGCGGTGAGGGGCGTGTCGGCCGCTGCCTCTGGGGCGGGGCCGACGCCGACCTGCTGGGGACAAGAGGCGGCGAGCCCGGGTCTGGAAGCTCGCGCATCCGCCCCTTCGGCGGTCACAGGATAGGGATTGGGAGCGGGGCCTAGAAGTTCTTCCCAGGGCCGGACCCGAACTCCAAGAGCCGGGCGGAGAGCCAGGCCTTAAGTTTCTGGGGGTAGGAGTGAGGGTGTTGCCATGACGACGCCTCACTTCGATCCGGCCCCTGCGGGTACAGGGGCTGCCAGCGAGGCCCTTCGTATCGACTCCTCCCGGAGAGCATTTTAGCTGCCCAGGAAAGAGATTTGTTTGCCAGCAGGGACTTTTAATCCTGATCTTCTCTCACTTCTCTCAAACAAATCACTGCAACCACTTGGGAAACCATGGGAAAAACCGTGATTGCTACCCCGCACCCGCTGGAGTCTCCCCCCGCGGGGCCCGGACTTCAACGCCCACTTTCCCGCAAGAGTAGCCCGGAAAAGCCACACCGGGTCTCCGTGCTCCCGCTAGCTCCCACCCTGCTGCATGGAGGCTGGGGGTCGGAACCGCCTGTGCGGCGCAGCTTGATGACGCATTGCGCCTGCGCGCGCGGCCAGCCAAGCGGGTGTGAACCCGGGAGGGGTGTGTTACCCGCGCCCGGGAGTCAGCGCCGCCGGAGGGCCCAGTTTTAGACGCAATGGGGAAGAAGCAGGTGGTAAGCGAGCCTTAGTTACTTTCAGTTTAGTTGAGCCGTTCTACTTTTGAGGAACGTAGAGGTTGAGTTTCTGGATGGATGACACGTCATTTTTGCGGGACTTTTGAAATGAGGAGTTGTCCTCTGAACTGAGTCTTTGGTTAGAACACGGTCCATAGCATCTTTAGAACAACACCGTTTTGTAGACTGATGAACAGTACCTATCCTTTGCCAGTTCGGTTTTGACTACTGGATAGTGCTAAGACAGCCGGCCATGTCCTAATCTTGTAGCATTTTTATTAACACACTCTTTGAACGAATGGATAGCTAAATGGTACAGTTGTGGCACAGCAATGAGTTGTTTAAAATTTAACCCTTCAAAATCAATGTCTTCTGCAAGCAGCTAGAGATACTTGGAATATTAAACTGATTACTAGACATATTTGTTAGTATTTTATTTTGAAAGATTCCAGAGTGCTACTTAACTGTAATTTCTGTGACCTGCAAGCACTTCTTTAAAAACGTGTTATTTTATATTGGCCTATAGCCAATTAATGTTGTGAACACTTTTCTTGTTCATGTAAAGTAGAAAATTTATACTACATTTAGAATTTTTTTCTTGCTGCCCTAAATTGGGTGTTTCATGTTGTATTCCGAGTATACTTTTTAAAAGGTTACTATGTTGTGTTAGTAACCTTTTAAAAACGTTACTATATAAATGTTAGTATTTTACTCTGCGACTTAAAACCTCCATTGGCTTCCCATTGAAAAATCTAAGTTCTTCCTGTCCGTCTTCCTAATTAATTTGCCCATGCCCTGATAACCGTGCTTCACGTTTATTGGCCTTCTTTTACCTGAAACTCTCCAAGCCCACTCTCCAGTAAAAGATTTTATATTTGCTCCCCTTTGGCTCCTTTCTTATTCAGGTCTCAGTTCAAATACCTCAGAGAGACTTTTCCTAACTAAAGCAGCATTCTTCATTCATATATATAAGCATATATATGCTTAATGTTATCTTCTAGTACTTAACCATTAGGATGTAATTTGCATAAAAGCAAGGATCTCTTGGTTCTGTTTATTAATGTATCCCTAATGCTTAGAACAGTGCCTGGCATGTAGATAGTGAGGAATATAGGAAGGAAGGAATTTTATGTGAAATTTAGAAGTGATAGAAAAAATTAAAATTGCCCATCTTATTCTCATCTGTATCTTTTGAGTTTCATTTGATGAACAGTGTTATCAAAAATTTGAAATACATTAAGTAAAGATGCTTCCAGGCCTTTACTTACAAGCAATTTTCTGTCTTTTTCCCATAGCGTCCTCCACGAGCCCTTCCACCTGTGCCAAGGTAAAAATAATTTACAGTAATTTTATTATCTAGTTTTAAAAATGAAAAATGAATAAAGTGAAAAAATTTGACTAGTACCATTGCACAATTATAATAATTCAGAAAAGACTTCCTCAAGTTTAAAGATGAAAAATCCTTGAATCATTAAGATAACAGTTGTGATTAAACATTCTGTTTCAAAGTCTGAAGGTCCACATATTAGTATACTAGGTCCGTTCTGAATGTTTTAATGACTTGTTGATCAGAATTCTGATCCTCTTTTGTTTGCGAGAATAGTTTCCTCAGAGTTTAAGCTGATTTTAATCAGTGACAACATAAGAGTTCTTAATCTGTTTAATCCACTTTATTAATAGACAGGGAGTATGTAAATACAGGTTCAGAAAATATTGGGGTTATTTTGTTAGTCTTATTAAACAGCTTATTACTTATAAATAATAAGCTAGTTTGTAAACTAGCTGATTTTCTGTGAAGCTAATTTTATTTTAAATTTGTAATGATACAAGTCAATTTACAGCCTGAAAGTTTAATAGATTTCTAATTAATAGAGTTTCTCTTTTTGTCTCTGTCCTGATTAAATTTGGTGGTGTCATGTAAAGTGCTATTCAAGGTGAGTTAGTTTTCTGTTAATGTAAAATTTTCTAAATAGAGTATTTGATGTTTGAAAGTTTTTTCCCCTTAATTTTCCCTTAAACTTGAATCTGAATAGTATACTTTATAATGTCACAATTTTTTTTATCATATTAATCTCCTATGACTGCCATTGACACTAGTTATATGTTGATATTTGACCTTAAAAGTTAAAAAGCATTCATCCCTGAATGGAGTCTCCTAGAACATAACTGTGGTCTTGCATATAGTTCTGTGATAGGGACTACATCTTCTTTTGTCTCATTTCATCAGGGTAGACTGGGTTATATCACACTAACCCCCAAATCTCAGTTACTTAATATCATAAGGGATTTTTCTGGTTAATGCAAAGTCCGCTGTAGGAACAATCCAGGACAGTTACCTTCCTCTCCCTCTTCACTAATGATGCAGTGATCTCAGCTACTTCCATGCTGCAGTTCTGCCATCTTAACGTGAGGCCCCCTCAGTTGCCACAGCAAGGGATGGGGAAGCTGGAGGGTTACTCACTGGCTCTTCCAAGGTCTTGGCTCCCAAATGGCACAGAACACTTCTGCTCACAGCCTCTTGGTCAGAACCAGTCATAGGCCCCAGTGCAAAGGGGCTGGGAAATGTAGGGGATCAGATGAATATTTGATGAGCCCACTTTCTGCCACAGTTTATAACTTTACTGACCAGCCATGAGCTACCTGTGTTTACCCTATGGGATTCCTCTAACTTTGGCAATTTCTCACCTTCTTCCCCTAATGTATAGAAGTTGACTGGACCCGGGGAAGAGAAGGGAAAGGTCTTCCCCACTAAAAGTTCCCTTTTGACTCTTCCTTGCATTGACTCTTAGGCAGCCTTTTCTGGTGTTCTTTCTCTTTTATAGATGATATTCCAGTTAGTCGTCCTAAGAAAAAGAAGCCCAGAACGAAAACCCCGCTTGGTAAGAAGTTGTTCTGTGTTGTGTGGGATCACAGTTTTTCCAGGACCTCGGACATGATAAACATCACAAATCAGGGAGAAGCAAGGCCCTAGCAGTCCCAAGTCACTGCTGTGTTAAAGATAGAATCAAGTTCACTCTGAAGCAGTGGGATTCTTGATGGTCATGAGGGATAAGGCCATGGGCAGGCTGAGGAGTATCTAGAAACATTTGTGGAATAAAGGGTAGTGCTGACCCAAATCTTAACTTCCACAACTTTCTTGGACTCTTTGAGGTCTTTTATCCCCAGATAACATAAGTTGTCTTAAGCTGTGGTCAGTTCCAGACCCTTGAACTGGATATGGATTTAGAGACACAAGGTTCTTGTATCCCATGTTGCAGTCAGAGAATCTACATTAGAACATGAGTCTGAAGTCAGGGCCATATCATCCAGGTATTAAAACTCCAATAATGAGCAAATTCTATGAACTTTTTTGTCTTATTCACTGATAATCTTGGATGTTCTGTCGCTAACTTGAACTCAGGATGTTCAGTATTTATTATTACTTCCAATGGTAAGTTTTACTTCTTTTTTTTTTTAATTTTATTTATTTGACTGCACTGGGTCTTAGTTGTGGCATATGGGATCTCTTTTTTCGACTCTGCTGGGTCTTTGTTAATTCATGTGGACTTTCTCGAGTGCGACAAATAGGGGCTACTCTCTAGGTGCAGTGCATAGGCTTCTCATTGCTGTGGCTTCTCTTGTGGATCACGGGCTCTAGAGCACAGAGACTCAGTAGTTGTGGAACACGGGCTTAATTACCCCTCAGCGTGTGAAATCTTCCCGGAGCAGGGATCAAACCCGTGTCCCCTGCATTGGCGGGCAGATTCTTTACCACTGAGCCACCGGGGAAGTCCAAGTTTTACTTCTCACTTACTTACTTTACTTTTTTACTTACAAGGTTTGTTCATGGATCCCCCTGCTCTCCCAGGGACCAGGGCTGGAAACCTCAGAGACACCTTTGAATTTTGCAGTTTTCACTCTACTTTCTCCCTCTCAGAGAGTTGCTGCTGCTTCCTTTGTTTTTATTTATTTAGCTGTTTTTGGCTCTGCTGGGTTTTGTTGTTGTGCATGGGCTTTCTGCAGTTGCTGTGAGCAGCGGCTGCTCTTCTTTGCGGTGTGTGGGCTTCTCATTGTGGTGGCTTCTCTTGTTTCGGAGCACGGGCTTCAGTGATTGCAGCACATGGGCTCAGTATTGCAGCTTGTGGGCTTTAGAGCACTGGCTCAGTAGCTGTCCACGGGCTTAGTTGCTCCAGAGCACGTAGGATCTTCCTGGACCAGGGATGGAACCCATGTTCCCTGCATTGCAAAGTAGGTTCTTAACCACTAGACCACCAGGGAAGCTCAAGTTTGCTTCTTATATAGTAGTTTTAATGTATTTTTCCTGCTGTCATTTCCACTGCCACAACTATGGTTAGTCTAGCACCTTTCTTCCTCTCACCTGAGGTATTGGGGTTGCCTCCAACATTGCTCTGTACTTTTAGCTTTCTTCCACCCTACTTTGTCCTGTCCACCACTGCTGGATGAACATCCTAAAGCTCATAGCTGGTCCTACCTTATACCTGGTTGGAAACTTATATTAGCTTATCATTGCCTAATAAATGGAGTAATAGATGGTGGGTGTAAGAAAAGAGAAAAATGGAGATGGATGTATACAGAAAGACATACAGACATGGAACAAAAAGGAATGAGAGGCAGAGAGACTTAGATTCACAAAGATACTCACTGAAATGCTAGGCTCTAAAAGTGTACTCAAAATTAAGTACAGACATGTCTTACCTGTGGACTTAAAAAGGTCACTGGTGAAGAATGCAACAAAAACTGAGTTGAGGGAACAGCGGTACAGCTCTGTCCCAGCTACCAACTATTTTTCTTGTAAAAAAGAAAAAAAAAAAATCTGTGCTCTCGACCAAAGGGATATATTGCTGGCTTTTATTAAACTTGTTGTTCAATTAGGTTATTTCAAATTTTTCACTCCAACAACTTGCAGCTTTTCCACATAAAATAGTGGATGATGGGGAAGGAGAGATATTTCTGTAAGGTGGATTGCTAACAGTGAAATTGATGAAAGGACCTGTGCATTATTAATGTAAGTTTCTACTAAATTGTCTTTAACAGAGCTTTAGTTATCTTTGTACCAGCAACAGAGTTTGAGTGTCACATTTGCTAAGTCCTTGAGAATGCTGGGAAATATCAACTTGAAAATTTTTTTTTGTTAACCTAGTGGGCAAAAAGTAGCTTATTTTAGTTTCCATTTTGCTCAGTACTATTGATAATACTAATACACTAATACATCTGTTCATTTGTTCACTCATCTGTATTCTTTTGTGAAGAAACTGGCAAGGGAAGGTATGAAGTAGAATTCAGATCTGCTAAAATGTGTCAAAATCTGCTCAAAGATTTAATGAGGGGAGAGATTAATAAGTTATCTGTTAACTGCAGTTATCCATGATGACTTTATCATGTGTTAACTTATAAATGAAGGACTAAACTGTTGATAGTTAGAGGCTGATAACCCTCAAGGCATAAGAGAAGTAAGAGTTCCTATGGTGATGGCTTCTATCATGTTTTCACTTTTTTGAAAGCTCAGAAGTGATTTTCCTCCTCCCCGTCTTTTGTTCTTCTTTCTAGTCGCCAGGTTTTTCTTCCTCAGTCTTCCTTGTTCCCTCATTTCTTTTGTTTTTCAACTTGAAGCCCAGAGTTACAGGTGAGGAGGGGGGAAATCAAGATCTGGGGCACAGTTAGTTCTGTGAGAGAAGAGAATATTATATAGGAAACATTGCAGTTCCCCTTTCCCCGTATTTTTGAGAGTTAGTAGTCTCTGCTCAAGTTATCCCCGTTTCCCCCTACCCTGTTCCTCTGTAGCCAGTGCTGCTTCGGAAGGTCTTGTTCAGACTGCTGCTCACAGGCCACCTGAGGGCAGCGAGCCACCAGCCCAAGACCCCACAGAACGCCAAGAAGCTCCTGCTCAGCGGAGGCAGAAGACGAGGCTACCTCTTGGTATGTAAAGAAACCAAGGTTAGCTTGTGACAACAGTTGTGGTTTGAAGGATATGATTAAAAACCTGTCTGTTTCTACTTTTCCCCACTCATATCCAGTTTTTTCTCTTTTTGCTTAACATTTTTATTGCTAGGGTAACTCTAGAGGGTTAAGTCAGGAATATTTTACAGGATCTCTTTTGATCATGAAGTGAAGTGAAGTGAAAGTCGCTCAGTGGTGTCCGGCTCCTTGTGACCCAATGGACTATACAGTCCATGGAATTCTCCAGGCCAAATACTGGAGTGGGTAGCCTATCCCTTCCTCCAGGGGATCTTCCCAACCCAGGTATTGAACTAGGGTCTCCTGCATTGCAGGCAGATTCTTACCAACTGAGCTGAAAAGTGAAAGTGAAGTTGCTCAGTCATGTCTGACTCTTTGCGACCCCATGGACTGTAGCCTATTAGGCTTCTCTGTCCATGGGATTTTCCAGGCAAGAGTACTGGAGTGAGTTGCCATTTCCTTCTCCAGGGGATCTTCCCAACCCAGGGATCGAACTCACGTCTCCTACATTGCAGGCAGACGCTTTTATTCTCTGAGCCATCATGGAAGCCACCACCAACTGAGCTATGAGGGAATATATGTACAGATTATGAGAGAAGGGACGCAATTTCAGAAGCAAAATAGAAAGTTTAGATCTTGGCGTGGCTTCTGATGGACAATGGACATTTAGTCTCTGACCATTCTGGAGGCTAGAAGTCCAAAATCAAGGTGTCCACAGGGCCATGTTTCCTCTGAAGTTTGTAGGAAAGAATCCACCCTAGCCTCCTCCAGATTCTGGTGGTGGTTTGTAGTGCTTGGCATTCTTTGACTTGTAACAGTGTAACTCCATTCTGTGCCCCCGTCTTCATATTTCCCCCTGTGTTTCTGTGTCCAAATTTGGCTTTTCTTATAAGGACCCCAGCCATTGAATTTAGGGCCCATCCTAATACAGCATGACCTCATATTAGCTTGATCACATCTGCAAAGACCCTATTTCTAAAGTCTCATTCATAGGTTTTGGGGATTAGGACTTGCATATATCTTTTTCAGGAGACACAGTTCAATCCAGGATGTATGCACATACACACACATACAGTAAAAAGAATGGAAGGATATAGAAAATTGTCAACAGTGGTAGGAGTTTTACAAGGAGGAATTAGGGATGATTTTTAAAAATTTTCTTTCTTTATGTTTAATAAATTTTCATATATTGTATGTGTAACTTTTATAATAATTAGAAAAATGACAATAGATTTTATTAGAGTTAAAAAAAGAAGGAACAAAGATTGTAAGATTAGCTTTCTCCTATTAACAGTCAGTTCAGTTCAGTTCAGTCGCTCAGTCATGTCTGACTCTTTGCAACCCCATGAACCATAGCACACCAGGCCTCCCTGTCCATCATCAACTCCTGGAGTCCACCCAAACCCATGTTTGAGTCGGTGATGCCATCCAACCACCTCATCCTCTGTCGTCCCCTTCTCCTCCTGCCTTCAATCTTTCCCAGCATCAGGGTCTTTTCAAATGAGTCAGCTCTTTGCATCAGTTGGTCAAAGTATTGGAGTTTCAGCTTCAGCATCAGTCCTTCCAATGAACACCCAAGACTGATCTCCTTTAGGATGGACTGGTTGGATCTCCTTGCACTCCAAGGGACTCTCAAGAGTCTTCTCCAACACCACAGTTCAAAAGCATCAATTCTCCGGCGCTCAGCTTTCTTTATAGTCCAACTCTCACATCCGTACATGACCACTGGAAAAACCATAGCCTTGACTAGATGGACCTTTGTTGACAAAGTAACGTCTTTGTCTAGGTTGGTCATAACTTTCCTTCCAAGGAGTAAGCACCTTTTAATTTAATGGCTGCAGTCACCATCTGCAGTGATTTGGAGCCCCCAAAAATAAAGTCAGCCACTGTTCCCACTGTTTCCCCATCTATCTGCCATGAAGTGATGGAACCAAATGCCATGATCTTAGTTTTCTGAATGTTGAGCTTTAAGCCAACTTTTTCACTCTCCTCTTTCACTTTCATCAAGAGGCTTTTTAGTTCTTCTTCACTTTCTGCCATAAGGATGGTGTCATCTGCATATCTGAGGTTATTGATATTTCTCCCAGCAATCTTGATTCCAGCTTGTGCTTCCTCCAGTCCAGCATTTCTCATGATGTACTCTTCATATAAGTTAAATAAGCAGGGTGACAATATACAGCCTTGATGTACTCCTTTTCCTATTGGGAACCAGTCTGTTGTTCCATGTCCAGTTCTAACTGTTGCTTCCTGACCTGCATACAGGTTTCTCAAGAGGCAGGTCAGGTGGTCTGGTATTTCTATCTCCTGAAGAATTTTCCACAGTTTATTGTGATCCACACAGTCAAAGGCTTTGGCATAGTCAATAAAGCAGAAATAGATGTTTTTCTGGAACTCTTTTTTGATGATCCAGCGGATGTTGGCAATTTGATCTCTGGTTCCTCTGCCTTTTCTAAAACCAGCTTGAACATCTGGAAGTTCATGGTTCACGTATTGCTGAAGCCTGGCTTGGAGAATTTCAAGCATTACTTTACTAGTGTGTGAGATGAGTGCAATTGTGTGGTAGTTTGAGCATTCTCTGGCATTGTGTTTCTTTGGGATTGGAATGAAAATTGACCTTTTCCAGTCCTGTGGCCACTGCTGAGTTTTCCAAATTTGCTGGCATATTGAGTGCAGCACTTTCACAGCATCAGCTTTCAGGATTTGAAATGGCTCAACTGGAATTTCATCACCTACTAGCTTTGTTCGTAGTGATGCTTCCTAATGCCCACTTGACTTCACATTCCAGGATGTCTGGCTCTAGGTGAGTGATCACACCATTGTGGTTATCTGGATCATGAAGGTCTTTTTTGTATAGTTCTCTGTGTATTCTTGCCATCTCTTTTTAATATCTTCTGTTTCTGTTAGGTCCATACCATTTCTGTCCTTTATTGTGCCCATTGTTGCATGAAATGTTCCCTTGGTTTGTCTTAATTTTCTTGAAGAGATCTCTAGTCTTTCCCATTCTGTTGTTTTCCTCTGTTCTTTACATTGATCACTGAGGAAGGCTTTCTTATCTCTCCTTGCTCTTCTTTGGAACTCTGCATTCAGATGCTTATATCTTTCTTTTTCTCCTTTGCCTTTAGCTTCTCTTCTTTTCTCAGCTATTTGTAAGGCCTCCTCAGACAACCATTTTGCATTTCTTTTTCTTGGGGATCGTCTTGATCAATGCTTCCTGTACAATGTCATGAACCTCTGTCCATAGTTCTTCAGGCACTTGGTCTATCAGATCTATTCCCTTGAATCTGTTTGTCACTTCCACTGTATAGTCATAAGGGATTTGATTTAGGCCATACCTGGATGGTCTAGTGGTTTTCCCTACTTTCTTCAATTTACATCTGAATTTGGCAATAAGGAGTTCATGATCTGAGCCACAGTCAGCTCCTGGTCTTGTTTTTGCTGACTGTATAGAGCTTCTCCATCTTTGGCTGCAAAGAATATAATCAATCTGATTTTGGTATTGACCATCTGGTGATGTCCATGTGTAGAGTCTTCTCTTGTGTTGTTGGAAGAGGGTGTTTGCTATGACCAGTGTGTTCTCTTGGCAAAACTCTATTAGCTTTTTCCATGCTTCATTCTGTACTCCAAGGCCAAATTTGCCTGTTACTCCAGGTATTTCTTGACTTCCTACTTTTGCATTCCAGTCCCCTATAATGAAGAGGATATCTCTTTTGGGTGTTAGTTCTAAAAGGTCATAGAACTATTCAACTTCAGCTTCTTCAGCATTACTGGTTGGGGCATAGACTTGGATTACCATGATATTGAATAGTTTGCCTTGGAAATGAACATAGATCATCCTGTCGTTTTTGAGATTGCATCCAAGTACTGCATTTCAGACTCTTTTGTTGACTGTGATGGCTACTCCATTTCTTCTAAGGGAATCTTACCCACGGTAGTAAATATAATGGTCATCTGAGTTAAATTCATCCATTCCAGTCCATTTTAGATCACTGATTCCTAAAATGTCAATGTTCACTCTTGTCATCTGCTGTTTGACCACTTCCAACTTGCCTTGATTCGTGGACATAACATTCCGGCTTTGTACGCAACAGTTTTCTACACTGATGCAAAGCTTTCTCTATAAACTGTCAGGGTGGCTCACTGTGCACCTATGCACACAGTGAGATTTATGCTGAGCACCCGCTTTTCTTCTGGGAGGCTAGAATTTTGGTATGTGTTTGGCAGCAGGTACCTCTGTGATCACTCCCCAGTAAATCCCTGGCTGCTAAGTGACTGATGAGCTTCCCTGGAAGAGAAAGGAACACATGTGTCATCACAACTTGTTGCTGGAAGAATTAGCACATCCTGTGTGACTTCATTGATAGAGGACTCTTGGAAACTTGGACTTGGTTTCTTTGGGACTTTGTTCCATGAGGTTTTTCCTTCTTCTGATTTTGTTTTGTGTCTTTTTCCTGTAATAAATTAACTGTTAGTGTAAATGACTTGTGAGTCTGTTGAGTGAATCATAGAACTTGGAGGTAATCTTGGAGCTCTGACACACCCTCAATGTTGGATGACTTAATTTTTCTTTTTTCATGTTGTTTGGCATCATGATTTCAAATTTTCTGTTGAGTGTTTAGAGGTGTAAAATTTTAAAAATTAAAGATTAATTAGATGGTGAAAAAAATTGGGGGCCAATTAGAATTCTTAAAGTTCTTTTGTCTTACAGAAGTCTTACATACTACTTTTCTTTTTTGCATCATAGTTATTTAAAAACTTAATCTGCTTTATTCTCAGAATTGGAGACTGCCTTTACCCAGAAGAAGACAGCTAGTCCATCTTTATTACCAAATGAAAATGGTATCAATGTGGAGCCAGATGAGGAGCCAGTTATTCAGAAACCTCGAAGAAAGACGAAGTAAGGATTTATCTGTCCTTCTAAATATTCTGCAGAGGTACCCTGATGCTTAATTTGGAGCTCCCAAACAGCAGCTTCTAAGTCTTATTAAATACTTGCAGTTGTGTATCTCTAGGATAAGTAGAATTACAAGGGTATTAGTTAAACTAGCCTAAGGATAACTTTGAAAAGAGTAAGCCCACTGAGAAAAGTAAAATATTATACTTAAATAAAATATTTTAGGAGCTGTGTCTAGAGAAGAGAAACACAAATATAAGATTTTATAAGTAGTAAAAATATTACATATTAAAGGTATTAAAAAAGGTGATATTAATAAGGTAGACTATTATTTATTTCCTCATATTAATAGAATTCATATTATGATTATTCTAACAATACATAAAATGTTTATTTCAGCATAGGAAATTAAGTCCCAGGTGAAATAGAATGGTATACTTTAAAGAAGTGTACTGGAAGGTATATAACACTGTTGTTCATATTTGGAAATGACCCTACACATAGTGATCAGTGTCTATATAGAATCATATAATTTTAAGTCTATAAAGAACCTTTCAAATCTAGTTCAGTCACTTCATTTTCCAGATGAGAAAACTGAGGCCCACAGAAATGTAAGTGACTTGCTGTACATAGCAGTTAATAACTGATCCATTTGAGTAAAAACCAAACTTTCTGACTCCAAATCCAGGGTTCTTTCCATTAGACCTGCAAGAACCTCCTTATTTGGGTCTATAAAAGGTCAGTAATCATCCATTTTTCTTACATTCTTGATTACAGGAAAACCCAGCCAGTGGAATTACATTATGCCAATGAACTAGGAGTTGAAGATGAAGACATAATTACTGACGAGCAAAGTAGTCCAGAACAACAATCTGTATTCACTGCACCCATGGGCATTAGCCAGCCTGTAGGCAAAGTGTTTGTGGAAAAAAGCAGTAAGTAGATCCTTGTTTTGGAACATGAACCCCTTAAGAATTATACAGGGATATCCTTTGACCTAGGAATTATACTTCTGGAAATCTGAATTAAGGAAATAAGTAAAAATATGGATGAAAATTTATACATAAAGCTAATCATCACATTGTTATTAATGAGAGCAAAAAACTGAAAAAAACCTAAATGTAAAACAGAAGGGGAGTGATTCAGACGGTTCATGGCATATCTATACAATGAAATCTTCTGCACCACTAAAAATAATGTTTAGGGAGAAATTTTCACTTCGTGGGAAGATGACAATGAAAAGTAAACATACATACTTGTGTAGTTAGATTTGAACTATAGAGAAATGCATAGGACAAAACACTAGAAGAAAATATGCTAAAATGTTAATGCTGGTTGTTTCTAGGTTATGAGATGATTGGTAATTTAAAAAGCTTCCCTTTCCCCCCCCCATTTCTTTATTCTCTGCTGTACTTTACCAGTTTTCTGCAATTGGTAGTGATATTGGTGGTGGAGCAAGTAATGATATAACTTCTATCATTAAAAATAAATAAGAGAAAATACATGATAGTATTGCCATGTTAAATGAGAATTAGAACATTATAGCTATGTTTTCTTTTAGAGAAATAGTTCTGACATTGTATATAGCACACATTGGTTATAACACTATATTTGTGGTGTTTAAGAAAAACCTGAAACCATGATTATAACCATATATTAGTCCCATGGATATGCTGTGAACATGCTGCCTAAAGAACTCATCTAAAACATAAAGGTTAACCCTTAAAATTTACAACTTAGATTTTGCATAAATTGTTTTAGAATTCTGATTCCTTAAGAGCCCACTTAAGGGATCTTGGCGTTGTTGGCCAGTGAGAAACCTGTGACGCAGAGAGGCGGACTCACCCAGGGTCTCAGAGTTGATTAGTACAGAGTTGGGACTCTAATCAAAGTTTCATGACTTCTAGTTAAGGGCTGTTAGAGGAGCCTGGCAGGCTACAGTCCATGAAGTTGCAAAGAGTCAGACACGACTGAGCATGCACGCAGCAAGCAGCAGGACTAGTGTACCATGTGGCCATTTAATTTGCTTCAGTCTGTTTTCAAGCATTGGAGGGCCTGATGTTGAAGCTGAAACTCCAATACTTTGGCCACCTGATGCGGAGAGCTGACTCATTTGAAGAGACCCTGATGCTGGGAGAGATTGAGAGCAGGAGGAGAAGGGGATGACAGGATGGGATGGTTGGATGGCATCACCAACACAATGGACATGGGTTTGGGTGGACTTCGGGAGTTGGTGTTGGACAGGGAGGCCTGGCGTGCTGCAGTTCATAGGATTGCAAAGAGTTGGACATGACTGAGTGACTGAACTGAACTGATTTTCAAGCAATGTCACTCAATCCTCATTTTTATTCTTGCCTCCTGTAGCACAGAAACTTCTCTTAGTAAAGTAACTGACCATGAAATGTACCAGTGATCTGCCCAGCAGTTGCTTTTTCTTTGGGAACATTAGGTATCCCACTTCTGTCTTTCCTTCTCCAAAGTGCCTGACAACCAGGTTTGGCAAAAATAATGGAACCTTTCCAGTTTCCTGAGGTCCATTTGTGGATTGGCTGATGAATGAGAAGGAGCCTTCTTGTCTGCAGTAGAAGCATAAAGTTCTGCTCACAGTATTGAGTTCTGACCCTTGAACTGACTGTTTCCACGGGAATCTTCTTAAGACAAGTGTATGAAACAATCTGTTTCTTTTCTGTCATCACAAAACACCATACTACATATGCTGGCATCTTTTCCAATTTGAAGTGTTTTCAAATATTGACTTACCTTTATAGTGGTAGGATTTACACTTTAATACTTGTAAAAATCTCTAAATTAGAATCTTTTAGACTATATCATGTTAAAGGTTTCCAGACTTCATTCTGAATTACAAGTTCATTGTTGTATTTCATTAAATAAATTGACTTCCAAGACTGCTTCTTTAACATCTGTTTTGGGTTGAGAAGAAAGTGTGTGGACATCATTTACTTCTCTTCAAGATTAAAATATTGTATGTTTTTAGCAACTGAGAGAAAAGAGACTTCTGAAATAGGAGCTGAATCGGAGAATTTTTAGACAAGAAAACAGTAAAATTTCAGTCTCAACTTGAGGGTTCTTAAATGTAGAATGACAAGAAAGATCACCAGGGTTCTCTGCTGTGAGTTGTTTTTAATTGTGTGTTGTGTTCTTAGGGCGATTCCAGGCTGCTGATCGTTCAGAGTTGATTAAGACCACAGAAAAGATCGATGTGTCAATGGACATGAAACCTTCCTGGACGACCAGAGATGTTGCACTGTCGGTGCATCGGGCTTTCCGGTGGCTGATTTTGTTGGACTTTTCTCAAGACAAATGTTCCACAGTTTTTTTTTTTAAGTGTTGACTGTTCAATACTGTTAAAAAATACTGTCAAAACTTAAAATAGTGGGTGGATATACTTTTCAAACATTGAATTAAATGATCTTCCTATTAGTATAGAGAAAAGAAAAGCTTGTTTTTGCTTTTTGTGAAATGTTTAACTTTATTCTTACACGTGAAGAGATTTGAAGAATGAGCTTTTTGCTTTAGTCTTTCGTGTATGTTAACAAAACCGTTTTCCATTCAGGATGATTGGTGTCTTCTCCCATGGCTTCCTGGCTGGCTGTGCTGTGTGGAACATTGTTGTGATCTATGTTCTGGCAGGAGATGAGCTTTCTGACCTCTCAAACCTTCTGCAACAATACAAGACATTAGCATATCCATTCCAGAGTCTTCTCTACTTGCTTTTGGCTCTGAGTACAGTTTCAGCCTTTGACAGGTAAGACTGTTGTGACCGTAGGCCCCTCTAACTTTCTTCAGAAGGAAGTGTTGAGCAAAATGTGTCCCTGCCAAACTATGACATTTTCAAAATAGAATTACAGGATATTAATATTAAAGGGCCATTCTGTTTCTGTTCTTTTTTTGGGGGGAGGAGATGGGACTACTGTGAGCAAAAACATACCCCAAAGTCTTAACCCGTTCCAGCATCAACTCTAAATTCAAAATTTCATCCAAATACAATCAACTCAAAAAGTCCCGCACACACACACTGCTGTGTCTATAGCCAACAGGGACCTGTTGTACAGACCATGGAACTCTGCACAGTGTTAGGTGGCAGCCTGGATGGGAGGGGGCTTTGGGGGAGAATGGATACATGCATCCCTATGGCTGGGTCCCTTCTCTATTCACCTGAAACTGTCACAACATTGTTAATTGGCTATACCTCAATACAAAGCAAAAAGTTAATTTAAAACAAGACCCAAGCATCTTCCAGTGAACTGAATCCGGTATAGTCAAGACTCTGGGTATTGCGTTAGTTTCCTAGGGCTGCTGTAACAAAAGTTCCCTGAACTGGGTGGCTTGAAACAACAGGAATGTGTTCTCTCACAGTTTTGGAATCTAAAAGTCTAAAACCAAGGTGTTGGCAAGGTTGGTTCCATTTTAGAGGGCCCCATGGAGAGTCTGTTCCTGCCTCTTTCTTAGCTTCCAGTGGTTTCTGGCAGTCCTTGGTGTTCCTTGGCTTGTAAATGCATTACTCTAGCCTCTCCCTCAGTTATCAGATGACAGTCTTACCTGTGTGTCCATGAATCTGTGTCTCTTCTTATAAAGACACCAGTCTTATTGGATTAGGGCCCCTTGTAACGGCCTCATCTTAAGCTGATAGCATCAGTAAAGATTCTATTTCCAAATAGGGTCACATTCACAGGTTCCAGGGTTTAGAAGGTCAATATGTCTTTTTAGGAACACAATTTAACCCACTAAGAAAACAATAGCTTATCACTCAATAATATGAGTAATAAAAGGAAGTAGAATCTAATGAAATTGCTGACCAAGTTTGTTTCTTCTTAACGCTAAAGGAATGATGACTAAAATAGTCTTTTAGTTAAATGTTATATGTGGCCTTTGTAAATAAGATTCTTTCATGTGTGTTAAGTATAAACTGTAGCTACTTAAAGCTTTGTAATAGACAGTACATGTGGTAGCATTAAAATAGAGAAGAAATAAACTGTTGTCTAGAGACTACAGTTTTGTACAGTTTTGTAAGAAGTTTACAACTACACTGTGACAAGAGGCTTTTGTATTTTCTAGGATTGACTTTGCTAAAACGTCAGTAGCAATCCGAAATTTTCTTGCTCTGGATCCAAGAGCTTTAGCATCTTTCTGTAAGTAAATAATTTCATAACTGTATAAATTTGAATCAGAAAAAAAGTATAATTTTATTTTAAAAATGATTTTATATTATTGCTACTTATAAACATTTCATATCAATATTCAGTGGAATTTGTAATTAAACTATGGGAGGTATAATTTTGATAGAATTATTTTTCAGTGGAGGTTTAGAATTATTTTTCAGCAGAGGTTATCTAACTTTTTAAAGTTTGTTGTTCTGTGTTACTTAATACTTAACTTTTGTGTTTTCTACTTGACATTAAACAGATAGGGCTGATAGGGCATTTTAGTAACAAATAGTATGGTTTTTTTTTACCTTTTTGGTAATTTGGAGTAAAGTTTGTTCTAATTATGAGAATATTAATAAAACTAATTTTAGGGCCTTAAATCATTTAATTTCTTAAATGATCTTCTAGATTCTTGTCAGTCTAATGATAAAATAGTGAGTATCTAAAGACCCTCCTCCACCTGTACTGAACAATAATCTAAGACTGTCCAGCCTATTGAAATTGACCAAATGAAATTTTTTGTGTCATCATTTCCCAAAGCTCAGATTATTTTTTACCTTAAAGTTATTTATAAATTCCAAACAAACTGGGTTGTTAAAAATACATTGTTAGTAATTCATTTGTCTTTCCTCAGTGTACTTTACTGCTCTTACATTATCTCTGAGTCAACAAATGACAAGTGACAGAATCCACCTTTACACACCTTCTTCTGTTAACGGCAGCCTCTGGTAAGAATTCATAGCACCACTAGTAATTGGTGATCGTAATAATAGCGACCGTAGGAGCAATGGTGCTATTGTTGTTTTTTCACTCTTTTACTTGTTTTCACCTGTAAGTAGTAATGAGGGCCTTGTTTTTGTTTCTAAAATTGTGGCCAGAAAACCCGCTATTCCATTGGTTAATGGGTAACTATTGTTATATACTCTTGCATTTTTAATGAAATGTTTTGTAAACAATGTTTTAAATCTTTTTAAGTTATTGTTTTAAAATTCTCATGATATATATAGTGTATTTCATAGGGAACTTATATTTTATGCTTGTTATTCATCTAGATAAGGATGGCTATAAGTTTATAAAATAGATATATCTGGATATATGGATCACAGTGAAGACATTTCTGATAATGAGTGTTTCTGTACCTCTAGGGCAGAAGGAATTGAGGAGCAGGTTCTCCAGCCATGGATTGTGGTGAATCTGGTGGTGGCCCTTCTGGTTGGGTTATCATGGCTTTTTTTGTCTTACAGGCCAGGCATGGATCTCAGTGAAGGTATTAAAGAAAAAAATAGTATAAGTACATCATAAAATCTTCTATAATGACTTCACAAATCTTCTTTTTAATGGATATAGCATTATGTCATTTATACTTTATAGTATTATAACATTTCAATAACAAAGATGCATTTAAAATAACCCAAGAAGTGTAACAATAGAGTGGTGAAACTGAATGATGCAAAAAACAGAGGAGTGTGTAGGAGAGCTGGAGTCTTGGAGCACTTAATGAGTGTTTCCACATATTTTGGAGTATATACCTTTCGGGTATTTTGTAGAAAGTCTTTGCTCTTCCTTTCTCTTAGTCTCTTTCTGATCAAAGTATCTCTTGCTGCTCAGTCGCTAAGTCGTGTCTGACCCTTTGCGAACCTATAGACTATAGCCCTCTAGTCTGCTCTGTCCGTGGGCTTTTCCCAGCAAGAGTACTGGAGTGGGTGGCCATTTCCTCCTGCAGGGGACTTCCCGACCCAGGGATTGAACCTGCAGCTTCTGCTGTGTTTCCTACATTGCAGGCGGATGCTTTACCGCCGAGCTTCTTGGGAAGCCCATAAATTTGAAATAAATCATATGCTTCATCTGTTAGCCTCTGCTAGACACATATTCAAGTGAATTTATTCTTACCTCCTCCTCTACTTGGCACAAATTCTTAACCCCTTCATTGTCTAATGAAGTGTTTAGCAATCTTTAGTGCTCCCAGAGTAAAGTGAGATTTACTAATCTGTAGTCCTCAGACCCCTTTTGGAACACCTGAAGAAGAATCACATTTGCAAACTGCCAGTCTTTCAGCATTGCTCTGAGAACAGCTTAGTATTTGTATTGTAAGTTGTGTTTCCTGGTAGATGTTCTACAGTTTCACCCTTGAATCTCTTTGCTGTTTTCTGGACTTTGGCTATTATTTTATTCTTGATTTGTTAAAGCATTTAACCACAGTTTGATCACCTGATTACAGCCTGTCTCAGAAATCTTGGAACTGAGAATCTTCAACATTTCCATTTGTAAAAACCAAGACAAAAAATGTAATCTGTGTGTTTTCATTCATGAATGTACCTTTTCTTGTGTTATTCACTAATTATTCCTTTTCGATATATTTAAAATATTTTTAAAAAATCTTCTTAGGCTTTAGGTAGTTCACAGTTTTTCTTTAACTTGGTGTAGTTTTTCATCATTCAAAAATTTTTTTTTCATCTAATGTTTACATCAGGACTTTTATTTTACTAAATTTATAAGGTTTTCTTTTTTAAAATATTTCTTGGTATTTTAGTAAACTATGGGACTGTCCTTAGTGATAGTTTAAATGTCAAAATGCCAATTAATAACATTCTCCACTGGGATTGAAGCTACATTCAGCTGGCTTATGCAGTATTCAGTCTTAATCACAAAGTGTATGTTACTTATATTTCCAGAATCCTGCTCTCTTTTAAGGTTATGTGAGTCAAATAACATTTCCATATGGATAAAAAAAAGCAAATATAAAATGAGGAAGATAATACTTACTTAAAGGGAGTTTATGGTAATTAAATGGGGTCACATATTTAAGCTTTCCTGGCACACACCTAATCTTAGTTCCAGGTCCTCCTCTATGTCTGTGTCCTATATTTTAGGTTATCACGATCACTACAGAATTAGACTTCTTTAGCCGTTTAATGATCCTGGATTCTCTAAGTGACTTAAACTTCCTGGTATGAGTTATTATATTGTCTCTATTATATATATTTTATTTTTCAGGAGTTACAATGCATTAAAAACTTGTACATCTCAAAATGCAAAACTTGTACATTTGTCAATAGTTCATCTTTTAAAACTCAGAGTTCACTATCAAGAAATCTTACTTGTACTCAAGTAAGACTTATATAATATGATAAGAATAATTATATATAAATAATTTATAATAATAATTTATAACATAAAGAAGTATAATTCTATTATATAATATGTCAATATTTTAAAACTGTTCATTAGTAAGTTATAAAACTCTTTTTGAGATGCTGGGAAATCATTTTAAGTATGATTTGTTCATTTTCTCTCCCAGAGTTGATGTTCTCCTCAGATGTGGAAGAATATCCTGATAAAGGAATCAAAGCCTCTTCATAGTGCCAACTCACCTTCTGAGTAATGACCTCATATTTAGAATTTTTCCCATTCTTGTTTTTAAATGTATTTTTATATATGTACAGATGTATTTGGAATTGATTTTTGATTATAAAATACTGACACATTTCTCAGGATTATGGAAAACGTTAAAATTGTATCTGCAATTTATACCTAAACATTCATTTCTGTAGCATTATTGTCTTTATGATGAAGGAGATAATGAACTACAAACCAACAAGGTGAAAGTGTTTATTTCCTGTTTTTTCAGATTAGTTGCATTTATAATCATTATCTTTAAAAGCAGTAATACAGTGCTTTTAAAAAGCCATAACTTTAGTGTTACAAAATATCTATCAGGTTTAAACATAAATTTAGAGAATAGAGAAGAAGGGGAGGAAAAGGACCTTCATTATTTATTTTTCATGTTTTCTGACTGGATAAATTGAAATATGAATTTTGTCATTTTTGAAACTGGTTCAGTGGTTGTGAATCATGTAATAAGTAAAATGTAATTTAGCTTGAAAGATGGCTAATAAGAAGGAAGTGTAACTTCTGTTTGAGAAGTTTTATAATTGTAAAAGCTTACTTTTTTAAGACCTATACCAGTAGCTCCCATATCTGCTTGCACATCAGAATCATTTAGGGAGCTTTAAGAAACATATATAGCAAAAGAGAAACCAAGCTGGCCAAGAGCTCGGGAGAGTAAAGGAGAGGCCTGTGAGCTTATTAAGTTAACACTCATTTGACCTCTGCAGACCTTATCCCCTGCCTCTTTTTTTAAATGACAAGAAGTATGAGTAGAAATTCACCATACCTGTTCCCAAGTTCTTTGTCAGAGAGATCTTTGACCTTCAGGGAAATCCCACTCTTCAGGTGGGTCCTGCATGGGAAGAGATCTCTTCAGAGCTGTATCTGTTGGTGCCTCAACTGATATGAGACTTAGAGCTCAAGACATGAAGGCTCACTGTGGGACAAGATGTCTCAGGGTCTCTTGGGCACCTCAGTGAAACTGAGCCTGCCCTGATGAGCAACCCACTGAATGCTGTGGAACAGTAGAGGACTGAGAAGCTAATGGTGGAGCTGGGTGGCTCTGAGAATAGGTCTCAATTTGATACACATGCCATGCTAGGAATATCTTGCTTGTCTATAAGGTATTCTCCAGCTGTCAGGAACTGCTGAAAAGGGAATCCCCTACTGTCACATGTATGTGTATGTCTATGTATATATTAAGTTCTATACAGTTTTATCAATTGTGTATGTTTGTGTCTCTACCAAGTCTAAAAGCTGTAAGAATCTCTCGTACCCCTTACCCCAAGCCCTGGCAATTACTAATGTCTTCTATTTCTTAAATCTTATAATTTCAGTAGTAAGTTGAATTATACAATATGTAATCTTTTGGGATTAGCTTTATTCTGCTCAATGTATCCCCTGGAGATTCACCCATGTTGTAAGGCCATAGTTCATCCCTTTTTATTGCAAAGTTACATTGCAACATATTGAAGCTTAACCATTTACCTGTCAAAGGACACCTGAGCTGATTCCACTTTTTTGTTTATGAATAAAACTACTATGAAAATTTGTGTATAGGTTTTTGAATGAATGTGAGTTTTACAGATTTTATTTTCTTGGACTCCAAAATCAATGCGGACAGAGACTGCAGCCATGAAATTAAAAGATGCTTGCTCCTTGGAAGAAAGTTTATGACAAACTTAGCCTATTAAAAAGCAGAGACATCACTTTGCCAACAAAGGTCCGTATAGTCAAAGCTATGGTTTTTTCAGTAGTCATGTACGGATGTGAGATTTGGACCATAAAGAAAGCTGAGCACCAAAGAACTGATGCTTTTGAATTGGAGTGCTGGAGAAGACTCTTGCAAGTCTCCTCACAAGGTCAAACCAGTCTATCCTAAAGGAAATCAACTGAGAATATTCATTGGAAGGACTGATGCTGAAGTTGAAGCTCCAATACTTTAGCTATCTGATGCAAAGAGCTAACTCATCGAAAAAGACCCTGATGCTGGGAAAGATTGAGGGCAGGAGGAGAAGGGGATGACAGAGGATGAGATGGTTGGATGGCATCACTGACTCAATGGACACGAGTTTGAGCAAACTCCAGGAGATGGTGAAGGACAGGGAAGTCTGGCGTGCTCGAGTCCATGGGGTCACAAAGAGTCGGACAAGACTTAGTGACTGAACAACAACAAAAATACCCAGGAGTACAACCCCTGGGTTATATGGTAGTTTTATGTTTAGTTTGTTAAGAAATTGCCAAACTCTTTTTCTAGGGTGACCATACCATTCTACACATTCCCACAACATTGTGTGTGTGTGTGTTTATGAAGAATCCAAATCAATTTTTTTTTAACTGTCCCACCTATATTTTTATTTAATTTTTTCTCCTGAGAGTATCATCCAATTTGTGTCTCCTGAATTTCCTATAGCCCAGAAGTTAGGGCTAGAGGTTTGGTTAGATTTAGGTTAGATTTTTGTTGCATCACATGAACCCTAAGGAAGTCGGAGTGTGCTGGTGGACAGCAAGTCTCTGAACAGTCATCAAACACGACCCAGAATGACAAGCAAACAGGTCAAGGATATTGAGCAATCGCGGGTGAGCCCTGAAGAGTGAAAAGTGAGGGTCAGAGTTTTACCTCCAAGAACTGTATCTTTTGAAATTAACAACTAACTCTAATAGTGTGTGCCCACTAATAGGAATACGCCAAGGAGAAGCTTGGAGACAGTGGTTAATTCTGCTTTGGGGATATGTGTATGGGGTTATAAAACTTAACCAAAGGCTAAACTCTGAGGTGGCCTTTGAGTAAAAGAAAACCTGATTCCATGTAGAATAGCCATAAGAAATGATCCTGAGGTGGTATAGAGCAATTTGGAGTCCCTTGGTTTCTGTATTAAAGACTATTTTGTGGCCGATTAAAGAAACTCTGAAAATTTCTGATTTTGTGTGTTTTAAAAGGTAAGCTGCATGAACACTGGGGCAGTGGGAAGAGTGGATGACAGTAGGCCAGGGACCCCTGCAGTAAACCACTGCAGTCGTCTTTGTGAGATACCCTAAATGAGGTGCCGTAAAAAGGAAGAGTAGGGTTCAAAATATTTAGGATTTGAATTCAAAACTGAAGTTTTAAGATTTTGCGGATATGACAGAGCTACACTCTGTCATATAGACGTCTGAGAAGGAAGATGAATATTAACGTGTTGTTTATTAATCTATGGGACAGTCGAGTAAAAGTATCCAAGTAGACTGTTAAAAATATAGCATCCGGAACTCAGGGATAGCGTTCGGAGGTGTTCGGAGGTGTAGGGAGAAGAGAGAGGGTTTATGATGGATTAAGTGGCAGGCAGGAAACGATCTAAACTCAATCGCCGTGCTGAGGAGGTTTGCTGTCAGCCAGCAAGCTCTGACTTCCTTCAGAGGGAGGCTGAAACGGCCTAAGCAAGGGCTTGAAGCTGAATCTGGCACAGCCCCTGCTCCAGCCCGGGGAGAGGCCGGCCTGAAGGTGCAGGTCACGTGGTGCGGGTGCGTGCGCGGGAAGAGCGCGGGAAAGGTCGGGAGGGCTGCGCCTGCGCAGATAGCCGGCAGTCGGTTAGTGCGCAGACCTGCCCAGCCGAGGATGGAGGGATGGAGCCGCCCCAAGACATGGCTAAGGTTTCCAACACAGAGGACAGTCACCACGGGCGGGTCCATTCCCTGTATGCAGCGCCGTTATCTCAGAGAATTTCCCAAACCCACTTGGGAAACATGCAAGCGAGGGGGTCGGAATCCTCTTCTCCAGCCTGGAACGCCCAGGAGCAGGGCAAGCCCGCTAATCTGTCCAAAGTCGAGTTCAAGGAGGGTCCTGGGCACCGGCTGCTGAAAGTAAGTGCGGGTCTGGCGGGCGGAGTCTGTCCCCTGACCCCGGAGAGGGTCAGGCAGGACCAGGCGGTCCGTGTGACAGTGGGAGGGAGGGAAGCCTGCCCGAGTTTGGAGAAGGGTAACACCTGAGGGAGAGTTTTCCTGTGGGGCACTGACAGTTGTTTAACTTGTCAGAGCCCCGTTTCGTTACTGCCCACCTTGAAGGGTTGTCTGAAGAACTAAAAGACGTAGTGATATAAAATACTTAATGCAGTGCGAAGTAAAGCGTTAATAGATGTTAGCTGCTATCGTCATCATAATCATCACTGGGAATTCATTTGTCTAAAGGGCTAAACTCCAGAAACATCAGTTAACTCTCTTTTCAATGCCTGAGGTTCTTATACATGGACCTGTAGGAGCAAAACTGTATCGTGTCTGCAAAATGAATTATTGGTGTCCAGTTCTTGATTAGGTAAATTTGTATCTGAAGTGTGTGAAGCTCAAGTTTAATTTCCATTTAGAGAAGGCAATGGCACCCCACTACAGTCCTGTTGCCTGGAAAACCCCATGGACGGAGGAGCCTGGTGGGCTGCAGTCCATGGGGTCGCGAAGAGTTGAACACGACTGAGCGACTTCACTTTCACTTTTCACTTCGGTGCATTGAAGAAGGAAATGGCATCCCACTCCAGTGTTCTTGCCTGGAGAATCCCAGGGACGGGGGAGCCTGGTGGGCTGCCGTCTATCGGGTTGCACAGAGTCAGACACGACTGAAGCGACTTAGCAGCAGCAGCACAGTGGTACTGCCAAAGCATAGAGGAAATGGAAAAGGGGAATCAAACTGAAACTCACATTTTCAAAGTTTGTTAGAGGGTTATTAGGAAATTATGCATTCTTTGTTGTTCTTAAGTTATTAAAAAATAGTGCAATATTTATCAGGAAACAATTCATATACATAAAGATATTGTTCTATCAGGAAACAAATGGTACACAAATTTAAGGAATTGAATTTGCCTTCTAGTGATTGTATATCATTTTTATATTTAGATTCCTGATTTATTTGTAATGTGTGGTATGCGGTCTGGATTTGGTTTATTCTTTTCCAAAATAGATGTCCCAACACTGTTTATTGAAGAAAAAAAGAAATCTATCTTTGCCCTAGAGTTTTGAGATGCCACATTTATGCATAAGATTTAAGCTTCCATACACTTTTTTTTTTCTGGACTTCTGTTCCTTTGGTGTTTATCAATACAAGTGCCAAGACCTTACTACTTTTTAAAGAAAAGATAAATCCTTTGTTGCAGGAATCTTTAACATGCTAAATGCCTTGTAAATATTCAAGAAGGGAATGTGAAATGCAGCATTTCCCAAGGTCAATCATATTTAGTAGGCATTTCCCATATATTTCATGACTCTACCTTGGGAAAAGTACTTAAGACCATACTCTTTTATTTGAAGACTTAAAGTATGTTTTGAAGTCTGGTAGGGCTGGTCCCCTCCTCTCTTGTAGTTTTCTTTTCCTGTAACTTCCTGACTATTCGCACTCTTTATAAAAACTTTGTTAACTTGTTTATCTCATAATAAAAGCCTTTTAAAAAACTAAATGTTACATTAAATTGATAAATTAAGTAGAACTGACATCTTTGTGATGTTGGTCTGTCCTATCCAGAGATTTTTTTTCATTATTCAACTCTACTTTTGTGTCTTTCAGAAGTGTTTTTCTTAAGAGTTTTGCATACTTCTTGTTAAAAGTATTCCCCAAGTGGGGCTTCTTCTACTTACAGTTCAGTTCAGTTGCTCAGTCATGTCCGACTCTTTGCAACCCCATGAACTGCAGCAAACCAGGCCTCCCTGTCCATCACCAACTCCCGGAGTCCACCCAAACCCATGTCCATCGAGTCGGTGACGCCATCCAACCATCTCATCCTCTGTCGTCCCCTTCTCCTCCTGCCCTCAATCTTTCCCAGCATCAGGATCTTCTCCAGTGAGTCAGCTCTTCACATCAGGTAGCCAAAGTATTGGAGTTTCAGCGTCAACATTAGTCCTTCCAATGAACACCCAGGACAGATCTCCTTTAAGATGGACTGGTTGGATCTCCTTGCAGTCCAAGGGACTCTCAAGAGTCTTCTCCAACACCACAGTTCAAAAGCATCAATTCCTCAGCGCTCAGCTTTCTTTATAGTCCAACTCTCATATCCATACATGACCAATGGAAAAACCATAGCCTTGACTAGATGGACCTTTGTAGACAAAGTAATGTCTCAGCTTTTTAATATGCTGTCTAGGTTGGTCATAACTTTCCTTCCAAGGAGTAAGCACCTTTTAATTTCATGGCTGCAATCACCATCTGCAGTGATTTTGGAGCTCAGAAAAATAAAGTCAGCCACTGTTTCCACTGTTTCCCCATCTATCTGCCATGAAGTGATGGGACCAGATGCCATGATCATAGTTTTCTGAATGTTGAGCTTTAAGCCAACTTTTTCACTCTCCTCTTTCACTTTCATCAAGAGGCTCTTTAGTTCTTCACTTTCTGCCATAAGGGTGGTGTCATCTGCATATCTGAGGTTATTGATATTTCTCCCAGCAATCTTGATTCCAGCTTGTGCTTCCTCCATCCCAGCGTTTCTCATGATGTACTCTGCATAGAAGTTAAATAAGCAGGGTGACAATATACAGCCTTGACATACTCCTTTTCCTATTTGGAACCAGTCTGTTGTTCCCTGTCCAGTTCTAACTGTTGCTTCCTGACCTGCATACAGGTTTCTCAAGAGGCAGGTCAGGTGGTCTGGTATTTCTATCTCCTGAAGAATTTTCCACAGTTTATTGTGATCCACACAGTCAAAGGCTTTGGCATAGTCAAAAAAGCAGAAATAGATGTTTTTCTGGAACTCTCTTGCTTTTTCGATGATCCAATTATTCATCTATTTTTAGGCTATAGATTTCTGTATGTTAATTTCATGTCCTGCTTCCTTATTGAATTTTTAAAATATTTGAGTTAGTATTATTTTTAATTCTCTAGGTTTTGGATATACTATCAGATCATCTTCAAATAGATATAGTGTTACTTCTTTTCTTTCAATTCTCTTGCCTCTATTTGATTTTTCTTACCTAAATGCTTGGACTAATGCTACCAGTTAGTAACATGTTGAGTCATAGTAGAGACAGTAGACAACCTTGCCTTGTTCCTGATCTTAGTAAATGTTTCCACTGTTTCCCCATCAAATGAAATATTTGAAACTTCGAACTTCAAATCCTGGCTTAATTGCTATTTTTGTCAGTGTTTTAACAGGAAAAGTTGTTGAATTTTGTCAGGGGCCATTTATTAATAAAGATATAGGGAGATAATTGCATAATTTTTCTCCTTATAAGGAGAAATTCATTATTAGTGGATTTCCTATTATTGAACCAATTCATTACATTCCTAGAATTAATCTCACTTGATTATTGCATATTGTTTTCTTTGTGGTATTAGACTCTGTTTTTATTATTTAGTATCTTCGTGTCAATGTTTTTGTTGTAATCATCTATTGGAAAAGGCAGTGGCAACCCACTCCAGTGTCCTGGCCTGGAGAATTTTGTGAACAGAGGGGCCTGGTGGGCTGCCGTCTGTGGGGTCGCACAGAGCTGGACACAACTGAAGTGCCTTCTCATTCATCCATGGCTTTCTTTATGGGTTTAGGTATCAATGCTGTGCTTGCTTTGTAAAAAGAATAAAAAAGTTTTCTTTAATGGTGCCATGGGATACTTAATTTTTGAATTTGGTAGAATTCCCTGTGAAATCATCTGGGCCGTTGCTTTTCATTGGTGATAGATTGCTAGCTCTCTCTCTCTCTCTCTTTTTTTAATAGAAAGTGGTCTGTTCAAACTGTTCACCACTAACAGCATCAATTTTGTTGAATTGTATTTCCTTAGGAGATTATACGGAGAAGGCAATGGCAACCCACTCCGGTACTCTTGCCTGGAAAATCCCATGGATGGAAGAGCCTGGTGGGCTGCAGCCGATGGGGTCGCTGAGTCGGACATGACTGAGCGACTTCACTTTCACTTTTCACTTTCATGCGTTGGAGAAGGAAATGGCAACTCACTCCAGTGTTCTTGCCTGGAGAATCCCAAGGATTGGGGAGCCTGGTGGGCTGCCATTTATGGGGTCACACAGAGTCAGACACGACTGAAGCAACTTAGCACCAGCAGCAGGAGGAGATTATACATTATGTTTAGGTTTTAAAATACATTTGGAGGTCTGCAAAGTAGTCTTTTATGGTTTTTCAAAAATCTTATTTGTGTTTTATCCTTGTATATTGATTAAGCTAGCTAGTGGTTTGTATATTTTGTTGGCTCTGTAGATCAGTTTGGGCTTCCTAGCAGCTCAGTGGTAAAGAACCTGCCTGCCAGTGCAGGAGACATGGGTTCAATTTCTGGATTGGGAAGATCCTCTGGAGAAGGAGGTGGCAACCCACTCTAGTATTCTTGCTTGGAACATTCCATGGACAGAGGAGCCTGGCAGGCTACAGTCCATAGGGCTGCAAAGAGTCGGACACAGCTGAGCAACTGAGCACACACACAGTCATAGATCAGTTTGAGAATCGATTTTTTAACAGTATTGAATCTTTCCAGTCATAAACATGGCATGTATTCCATTCACTTAGATCTTTAATTTCACTCAGGAATGTTTTATAGTTTTCAGTGTTCTAGTCTTAATTTCTTCTTTTAAATTTACTCCTAAGTGTTTTATTATTTTGATGCTATTTCTAATGTAATTGTTTTCTTTTTATTTCCAGATTTTTCATTGCTAGTATATAGAAATGCAGTTGATTTTTATATTTTGTTCTTATAGCCCAAGACCTTGCTGAACTCAGTTGTTAAATTCTAGTAGTTTCTCTCTTTCTTCCTCTTCTTTTTTTGGTGGATTTTTTAGGAATTTCTGTATACAGAACTGTGTCACCTGCAAATAACAATAGTTTTAGTTCTTTCTCTCAAATGTGGATATTTTTTCTTTTTCTTGTCTGATTGCCCTGAATAGAACTTGT